TATACATAGTGTGTATATTATGTTGTGTAAACGACTTGTTAACAAGCCGCTGTTTGTCCTTTACACACCGATGTCGGCGCATCATCATCGTGAGTATGCGTGAGTCATGTGTTTGTCCTACAGCGCTTGGTATTTTTTCTCTTCGTTTGAGAAACGCTCAAAAACACACAGAAAACCAATCGACGGGAAATTGCCGGTCAGGTCCGATAGTAATTTTCTATCATAACTCAAATCTCATTCGGTTTTGCGGTCGCACACATGTATTATGGAAGACTCTCTCGACTGTGTACCGGTAGCGATTTATAAATATATATATATATATATATATATATATATTATACAACCGAGCGGCTTGTATCCGCCTAGTGATCAAGAGGTACATATAATATGCTATTGCTCGTTGTTTTTACAATAATGATGTATAATATAGTGGCTCTCGGTCTCGTGCATGTGTTTTTCGTCGACACACGCACACATTATCTCATGTTCGTTTCCAATCGGTATTAGAAAACACATGCGGCGAAGAACCTGGCAATAATTTCAACAGGATGGTTTTTTTCACGGCCTAACGGTAACGTAATTGAAGCCCTATTTGTACCTATACCACGATTTATGATAATACGGTTGCCCAACCGCTAGTGATAAAGTCATCCCCGAAGTTATTCCTGTACAAATTACAAACTGTCGAGTAACGACTAGCGTGTTCCAGGCGGACAGCATTTTCAACTTTACATAAATTGTGATTATAACCTCAATTTACACATTACATTTGGCTGTTATCTTGGATCACTGATAGGAGCGCTAGTAGTTAATCGAAACAGATGTTTTTTTTGGATTAACTTCCTGGTCGTGAAATGAAAATATTGTCGTAGGCCGTTGGGCAACCGTATTATCTTAAATCGAGACCTACACTAGATTAGGTCAACCGAATCTGTGTGCTCGTCGCAAGGTAATCTTTTCGGATGGCCTTGCCGTTTCCGGTGTCTCGTCGCGTTATTATATTTTATCTGTCCTGTGCTCGCCATTAAAGCAGTCCGTTATCGCGTTTCCTTTTTATTATAGATTTTTTTTTATGTAAACAACAAGTGTATTTATAATATGCAAATATGCCGGGTGGTTATATTATAGAGTGCTCGGTGTAAGCGCGGCGACCGCTGAGGGTTAACCGCTTCTCTTATAGGCTTTGCGCCCAGCGTACTCGGACAACCGTGTGTGTATGCACATAGGACGGCCTGTTGTAATTTTCGACATAATACTCGTGAACCATCGCCGACCTTACGCAAAACAGGAATGGCCGGTCGACACAAAGTGCATAAGAAAACAAATTTATTCAAATCGATTCTGCGGGGTGCCCGTGCTTAGTTTCAAATCGATATGGCAACCAATACAAAAAGGTCGTCGGACGCATACGCTTGCCCCGCTCTAGGCCGATGGCCCGCCACCTTTGTCAATAAATAAGTGTAAGTATCGCAACCTTCCCCGGCGGTATCTAGGTTAAGTTGAACGGGTATAAATAAGTATGTATTATATAGGCGCAATTAAATTACATTTACGGTCGCCTTGGGTCTGTGTGTCGCGCGTTCGGCCGAGGAAAACTCTCGTATAAACGCGGCTGCCGTTGTCGCGTTATCTCCTGGCCGGCGATCATAGACAACAATCCAGAGCGACTGCCGTGTACCCACCTATAGACTATAAGAATATTTTGCATGTATGCAAGTAGTATACATTGATCGACTTGCGGCGACGTCCGATGGTAGAGATTACAAGCCGCCGGTCCCCCGAGGCGTGCAATCATCGTCATCGACCGATGATTACAGTCATTTGCATAGAGTATACTACTCGTGGTGTGTGATGTATACTTACTCCTCTACGTATAAGAGTATACTTACACTAGATGTAACGCGTTGTAACGGTGTGTTGTGCGTTTCCCTATCGGCGCCGTCGTCCCGCGCCCACGTTATTTTATAATATTACATACTTTGGTAGTAATAATCATTTTTTTTTTTTTTTGGTTTTCATCGACCAATCGTTTTCTGTCGGGGTGCCGTGGAAATTCCCACACACACACGAGACGACGGCCCGGTAATCAAAATCCTAAAGAAAAACTGACATCGCCTTCAATCAGATTGTCGACCGTATAATAACAATAATAATAATAATACAAATCTTAGGTCGGGGTGTAGCGGTCGAGGCGCCCAATGGAGGAATAATTACATTACATACATACTTACACACTGGTTGTTTGTTTTTCCCGTCAAATATAATTATATAGACATTGTCTGTGCGCGTCTCGTTCAATAGCAGTCGCATACATATTATAGTATATATATATTTATATTTATAGGACCCGCGTGATCCCCTTGTTTCGTTTGGATTTAACGCTTTTGATTTGTTGCAAAAAAAAAAAATATATATAACAATATTTTATTTTGTGTTATCGACTGTTCGCATCTCGATCCGTCGTGTGTGCAGGGTGGTGCAGCAGTAGTAAACAAACCGTGAACGATTTTTTTTCTTTTCGAAAATCGCCTGAGAATCGTTTTGAGCAGCGTATCGGGGACATGCACAAAAAAAAACCGTTACTACAGCACTCCAGGCACCAACAGTAGCTCTTGTGTACACACACACAAGAGCTATGAGTATGACCTTTAATCGCTATATTTAAATCGGTATAGGTATGTCGCGGCGCCTCTATAAAACGCTAATCCATTTTTTATCTCGTGTACAGATATAATACACGGCTCGCATGACAGTGTCGTGAGGGAATTATTACTGCGAAAAAAAAACAAATATTGAAACGATAAACGCGCCCGCGAGACGACGACACGCTCGCGGTGTGCTCTTGATCATTTGTCATTGTCGACCTTTAAATCCTTTTCGCATCAACTGTTCCTCTCCGCAGAGATCAGCCCGCGTGTGTGTGTGTGTATATGCACATCAGTTTCCATTGTGCGGGGAATACAAAAAAAAAATCTTAAAAAATTGCGCAAGACAGGGTGGTAAATGATTTTCAAAAAGGGTTGTGTAAACAGACAATATAGATGCGCGGTAGCATCCGCGTGTCGGATGAACGAAGTTCCGGCGGTTCCCGGGGAGCACGACGTTATAACCACCGGTTGTGTAGACTTGTTCTCATGTTATAGCGTTATTTGGAAATTCTTATAAAACAATTAATCACGGCAGGGGGGTCCGTCCCGATAATCCGCCGTTACAACACATTATAATACTCGTTGCATCGCAGACGGAGAGATATAATTTGCCGGCGCGGATATCTCCATTACCAACAATCGTTGTCGCCGCCACCGTTTTTGTATCTTCTGCAACGTTAAGGCGATAGCCTTAAAAGCAAATTCATTAAAACCGATAGACCGTGGTGTTACGCGCCAAAAGCGGAAAACTACCGGCGCTACTAGTCAATGGAAAACGCGGGGCGTCCGTCCGTCTCCTCTGAGTTGTGTACTTAATATTATGTGTGGGTACATATATAACAGGTTTTGTTTTTTTTTCCCCGCGTTATTATTTAATGAGACCAAAGGTCACGACGCCGACGACGAGTCTAATGTTTTAGAGTACAAACAATACACGGTGGTAACGCCGCCGCCGCCGCAACAACAATAACAAATAATAACTGGTTATCTGTGAAGCGGGCACAAGTGTCCTGAACGGCGCTAACATGATAATAATAATAATAGTAGTAATAATAATAATAATAACATTAAAGGGACCGGCATGACCATATAAGAAGCGGGACGGGCGAGAAGAGGTTGTCGTGGAAAACGAGTTTTGCAGACGGTCGAACGCGTGCCGCTTCGGTCCAGTTCCGGACTGCTAGACGTATATAGTTGTACTGTTATTATTATTATTGCTGTATAACATTACAATGGGACCGGGCGTATAATGGGACCTGTCGGACGACCTTTTGGGAAACTTTGAAAGAATGACAGAGAGAGAAAAAAACCGTTTATGATTAATATCGTTTTAATTCGAGCGGTGTGAAGCTATACCGGTGGCGAGCTGGAACCGGTTGATCGAATCGAACCGGTCCGGCACGAGGAGCCCACGGCGGACCCCGGGACTTGTACACACAATGATGTGTGTAGTATAATAATGATAATATAACGCTGTCATTCATCCGCGGTCTGTTCATTCACAAAATAAAATAAATAATAATCGTATTACCCGTCGTCGCCGCCGCCGCCGCCGCCGACGAAGACGACTTGTTTTGTTGTTGTTGTTGTACATAATACTTAATAATAACATTGTAAGTACTCCGGAAGATACGTGGTACGGGCCGCACGAAGAAGATGAGTAGGCGGAGCACGGGAAACCGCAAAATAGTCGGCGCCGCGTGTACGAGCAGCGGTGGTTTGGCCGCCCGCTTTCAATTCAACGTTGAATAGTAATTGCAACGCTTTTAAAACGCGCTTAGCACTTTTTATGCCGGAGCACTTAGCGCCGCCATTATGCCGTTATCGCGTCCGATTAATATATACATACACCGGTCAATTATTTGTTGTTGCCCGCGCTAATGGTCCGGGCAAAACGCGCATTAGACGTACGCCGCGTGCCCCTACATACAGACCGAGATGATGGCCAACACGGTCGTCGTTTTTATGTATAATAATAATAAATATTACAAAAAAAATAACTGCACAAAAACGCGTGACAAGTGTGCCTAATTTACATATATTTCTCTTTCGCGACAATGCCATACGTCGGGTTTTTATAATGCGCCGCACACACTCGAGGTATATAATATTTGTAGGGCTGTCGAACCACATTTCTCGCAAAACCGTGTTAATCCCACTATATAAAAAAGTCAACCGAAAAAGAGTCAGGTTTAGGTGTTACAATAAGCGTCTTGTGTCCACCTTAGTAAAATATGTTTAATAACTTGATGTATTTGACAATACAAACCCTCCCAAAAAAAAAAAAAAAATTGTGTTTGGCCAAGTGTGATCTCTGAACGGCGGACGTTTTGCGTGGGCTGGTTGTTGTAGGAGACGGCGGGGTAGTGACCGGGACGAGGATCACGGTGACGCCGACGGCCACGATCATCACAACGGCGATCACCTCCAGCAGCCGCATCAGCATCACGACGGCGTAATGGCCGATTCCGAGACGGGCGGCGGCGTGGCCGATCAGCCCGCCGAGCCTGGCGGCTGGAGGCCGTCCTATTACGAGCACCCGTTGACCGCGGCCACGTCGGCCATGCTCAACATATCGGGCGGCGACGACCAACAACAGCAGCAGCAGCAACAGCAACAGCAACAACAGTCGGCCGGCCAACAGGGACAAGGCGCCGCGCCACTGAGTTTCGTCTACGAGTATTACAAGCTGCCGCATCTCGCGCCGGTCGCCACTGGCGACAACAAGGACAAGCTTACCGACATTTGGCCGTAAGTTTGATCGTCTGTCATTGTGTGTGCGAAAGTGTGTGTGTTTGTGCGCTCTGTTCTCTTTGCAAAACGCTAACGCGTCGCTTATTAAACATGTATTTCTATCTACGCCTTTGCCGCCCCAACGTACGCCGTTTGCAGGGAACAAACAAATAACCCAAACGTATCGTTATAATATAATATACTATTGTCGCTGCATTTTGCTTTATTAACGCCTTTATTAAAAACGAAATATTTAATAAATATGTTGTCTTCATAATACACTAAACACATTAATACGATAGGTATTATAATATAATGTATCCTGTAGTGATATTTAGTACAATTTGATAGGTAAGTACTATCGGGCGAACCATGTCTGATAAATATGTCTTTCTTTGTCCAATATAATACCTATCATGTTACAAGTTATATCGATTGGTTTGGAAACCGTGTTTTTTTATATTATAGCCTTCAAAACGGCCGGTAAAGTTTTCAAGCTCACTGGATGTTCTCAATGTTATACTACTGTTAATTTTTGTGTTGTGGTCTCAGCCGAAACGAATCGGCCGTATTACACAATAGCTAATTTGTGTGCCGCGCGATCGTAAATATTATAATTTTTTCGAAATAAATAAAAACGGGTCGACGGCCTAATCTAAATATCGTGTTACCCGTCGGGTACGTGTACATACCAAAATTAGACTAGAATCCACCAGCCGGGGTGAGACCTATACGATAGTCTTTTTTTTTTTTTTTTGTAAACGGTGGCTGCAGGTACACTCTCAATGCTTGTACATCTTCAACCGCCGCCACTGTATACATCATGATCTATAATTTATCGCCTCCGGATAACGCGATCACAATGGTCGCGCAATTATATCCTATTGTCGTAACGTTTTCGGCCGTAATATTTCATAGCACGCGGGCACTGCAACCCTTTTTATTATTATTTTTTTCTTCGCCTTGTCGGAGGTCTCAGCCGACAAGAGAAATCCGATATCTACCGCTGCTGTGCACGGTTAATACTTGTGTACCCAAACTCTCGTATTATTATTATAATTGTCGAAATTTAACGGACGAATAAATCCGAAGATTATCATTTCGGACCACACCCTATACATACCTATACTAGATCCGGCAAACCCGTACATTTTGCACGACAACATTATGCATATAAGGGTCGCGTTCTCTATTTTTATGTCGACAATCCGCACACGGTAAGACCACCGGCGGGGCTGCGTTAAACGGATCGTTTCTTCCAGCCCATTTAACCCGGCATTGGTTCGTCTATCCGGATGGGCGTGACAACTGGCTGGCAGCAGCGGCAGCAGCTCGGCACACAATAATATGATGTGTATGTAAAGACAACGGACGGGGAGGGAGGGAACGGACCATCTGAGCGTTTCTTGTCTTTTCATATTATACACTGCGTGTGTGTGTGTACGCGGAGTATTTCCATAAGAAATTAAATACAATTCTATTCGACAGAGGCCCCGGACGGGAGATGTCTAAAAGCACACGAAACGTTGTAAAAACTAAATTAATTGAAAAATAACAACGAGCAGTGAAAATAGAGCCCGAGGCCAACCAAAGTGCATAATATTATACAAAACACCTGCGATACGTTGCGCGTTGAGAGTGCCTCCACCTCCACATAGTATGGTGCAGTATTTCCATGCATAAAGATCATGACCCGCGTGCTTTGGCTTCCGGCGATCATTTCCTTCACTATTGGGAACTTGCCTATGATTTCATATTATGGTCTTTGCTATTGGCCGGGACTTATACTGACACCGTCGTCGTTATCGCTGGACGTTGCAATAAAAAAAAATATATATAATATATACATATTAATAATAAAACTCGGATTTACGACCACGCGTTGGTAGTATTAATATTTATTATCCTACTAATTTGTTTTTTTTTTATTCGCGTGGGACCCAACATGGATTAAAATATAATTCGGTTGTAATTTTTATTAGCTCAAAAGTTGTCGTTTACTACAGTGTCGGTTTTGCCATCCGCGCGTATGCATTTTATTATGTTTATTTTCCTAAACGTGGGATTTCACCTAGTTACCCGAGTAGCGCCGATGACAATTTAATATATTATTATTTTTTAACAGTGGTTTTTTTTTTTTTTTATAGTATAGAAAGTCGCGCGCGAAACGGACGTTTACGTGTGCCTATTAAAAGCGACCGTTATTATTATTATTGTGTATTATAACTTAGGTAGGTTATGGGTATTTTACATTTTTTTTAATAAATTACCGAATGGGTGTGTGTAAATATCGCTGCGGAAAGATTTAAAAATCGGCTTGCGACCGATAATGTAGTATTCGGCTGATCGACCAAACAACTTTCTAATTAGAAGCTTGTGCAATGACATTTCGGATGAGTCTTCGATCCTGTGTATGGGATATAATATAATACAAGTGAAAACCCGCGACGCTCGACGAACTGGGCGAGATGCATTAATTTTGGCATTTTCGACAAGTTTTTATAAGTGTTTGGCGGTGAGCGCGCGCGTTGGTTTGTATACTTTAGTGTAATATATGTATTATATTATGTGTTGAGTGTTGTTTTTTCTGCGCTCTTTCTTTTTCTTTTTTTCCCTCCGTTTATGTTATATTATTCTTTCATTCGGTGGCCGCTTGTGTTGACGAAACCCGTTCTCGGTCCGCAAAGAAGCACACACACACACATGATAGGAGATAGACGATCCGACACGCAAGTCGTCGAGGAGACGTTCGTCTAACGTTACAGCGACATAGCGCGCGCGTTCTGTCCGTATCGAATGTCCTATCCTAGATCCGGTTCCGACTCGGTACTCGCAATATAATATCCGTCGTGTACTTGGGTATACACAATATAATCTGTTACGGACCAGTATTGTGGTCGGGGCTCATAAAGCATTGGGCTTTTCGCGCAAACCGTTTAACGCGCTTAGAACCGAACGAACGCGATTGATAATAACAATATATATAATATATGTTGTACGTATATACTTATGACGGTTGTTGTTCGTGTACCCAAGGGTACCTATAGTGTTTGTAACGCGACACGTCAACGCCATGGATATATGATTGTGTGTATACAGTATGATGTCTCGTGACGAGATGACGAGTTCATTATGACAAGCTCGATGAAGTGATGGGAAATCGCGGGCTATAATAGTACACGCACACACATTGGGAAAGGGCGCCGGAGCGGCATAACTCTCCTCGGGGGCTCTCCCCAAAAAAACATTGTAACGCAATAATTCATATATTATATAATGTATATGATTATTAAAATAAACTAACTAGAGAAATATCCGTTGGCAGTGTGCACACAACAGTAGTATGATGGTAACGAGAACAAGAGGGTTCGCCGCCCCGTGTTGCTAATATGTATGTGTGTGTCTACGGGGTTGTGTAAGAGGACTTATGATAAATCCAAGAGGGTTGTGTGTTGTAAAATGAAACCGATCTCAACACCTGTCCGCGCGATAATAATATTATGTGACCCCCCGTGCCCGCGGTGTGTACCACCGACATATTAGGTGTAACGATGATGGCAGATATTTCGCGTTGACCTTCAAAGCCGATAAATAGTGTTTTTTTTTTTTTTGATAAAATTGGTAAAAACATTTAAACATATTTACAAGAAAATTGCGCCCCAATTATGTCTGCGTATCCAATAATATTTACTACTACAACTAGTAAAACGTTATAGAGTTCAGCACATGATATAATTATTATTGGTAATAAGCGGTCCCGTGCCTAACCCAGAGCCGTCGAGGTGTTTTAAGTCCTATATTAAAGCCATTAAGCACGATATATATAGAATATAATCATTGTTATTGAAACACTTTTATCCGGTAGTCGACTCGGCCGCGCGACGATTATTACTATAAATATTATCCGAGAGATAATAGAAAAGAAAATGAAAATACTTAAGTGTTTCGGGGCGACCGGCGACGGGGGTTCCCCGTTAACGCTTGTGTATAAAATATCTGACCGGCTGATCGTTGCAACGCCTCGTACAAGCTATTAGTCGGACGTCAATCAAACGCACGTTAAAAGTATATTAATATAATCTCCTGTCGCGGCCTTTCTTCTCCATACAATACACGTATATAGTAGTAATCATAACTGAGAAACGATATTATTACTTTTTCCCAGTTGAATTAATTAGTATACATAATATACGAATTCACATTTTGTTACAATAATAATAGTAATATAAAAACTTATAATCAAAATATTATCTACATTTATGTACAAGACGTTTGTCTTAGTAATATGTTTATGATTTTTGTGTGTAAATTCCATTACCCGGTAATAGTTGAAAAGCTCGACCGTGCAATAGCCGTTACATATTTCATTGTAACAACACATGATGTACAAAACACATTGTATATTACAGCCTTTACACTGATGCCGCCGCCGTTGAACTTGTGGGAAAATTATAATCACTATCGCGCTTAACGGACGTCAGATTAATTAAAAAAAAAAAAAAACCGAACGTTCTTTCTATCAGTCGGTCGGTTATATTATGTTATTAATTTAAATATTTTACCGACGTTCAACAATGGCGCCGTATCCCTTTACTCGTGACAATGAGATTTCTTATCTAGAAAACCGGTTTGCGCGCATAAATTTCGCTCGTTTCGGCTGAGATTTCGGCGGGACGGCAACCCAGCAAGGGATGTGTCTGCTTCTTAGCTGTTACTATAGGAATGTACATTATAGTCTCTCACATGGTGTTTCGGCGTTAACACTCGCTGGTGTGTATGTGTACAATCGTCTTCGTCGTCGTCCTAGTGCTGTTTGCCGTGCCTCAATATCGCGTGTCTTTTGCTAAGTCGAGTTCTGGTAACAAGCTTATGATAATAATATTATTGATAATGCCTAATACCCGTCGTACGGTCCTGTCCAGCCGGGTCGAATCCAGATCTATTGCCGCCGATCTCTTAATACTCGCGTTCTTTTTCTTCTTCGTGTACTGTTATGATAAATCCCGTTTTATTGCTATACTTTGGCGCTTTGCTTGTCCATAAATTATATGTGTGTATTTAATCCATGGTTCTGGGTATGTGACCAGTTAGTTGTCGGTCGTTGTGAGTACACAATACGGTGCCGCGAGCTTTCTAATTTCTCGAATAATAATGATAATATTATTATTGCACGTGTGTTGGACCAACCGCAGCCTGTCACAGCGGTATATTATATAGTGTTTGTCGCCTGGAATGCGACGGGACGCAACTCAACGTCCACGCCGCCGTACACTAAATCTACCGGAACGGTTTCGAAGCGTCGGGTTCGGCCTTATTCTTCTTCTTCTTCTTGTTTCGTTATTTTCATAATAATAATAATGATATGATAATTGTCGGCGATTGCCGGAACGCGTCTGATTTGCATTAACCGAAATTTCACGCCGAGAATAAAATAAATAGCCGCCGCAGTCGGGTTTCGATTCCACAAAAATAGAAAATAACCGTTTTGGCCGAGTACAAACGGATTTACATAGTTGTCACGGCCGTAAATGATTTGTTGTGTGTATTATTAATATGTCGTGCCCCCCGTTGTTTCTCAGATAATAACTTTTGCCGTTTTATTATTTTTACAGGACGACGTCATCGCCAAACGGGTCGCTGTTGTCCGCCCAACTGAAACCGAGCAACGGACTTTCCGGGTTGGAGATCGGCGCGTCGCACCTGAGCGACCTACAAGGGCTGTTCCTGCACCAGCAGCAGCCGCTGAAACGCGAACCGGAAGACCTGAGCCACCACCGGGGCGCCAAGAGCAATGCGGACGCGTTGAACAAGACCGGACGGCCCAAAGTGGTATTGGTCGCGCCGGGCAACCACGCGCAAGAGTTGGTCGTCGACGTGGTCAACAACAACAATAACAACCAGGCCAACCACAACGTGAAAGAAGAGTACGGCCACTCGCCGCCGCAGCACAACAACCGGTCGATAAACGGCACGCCGTCGTCCACGTCGTCGCTCATCACGGAAATGAACCCTCCGCCGCCGTCCATCGATCTCATCGCCACCGCGGACGGCCTCAAACCGTCCATGTACAGCACCCACATATTCACGGCCATGACCGGCCAGCACACGGACAGCGGCACGCCGTCGCCCAACTCGTACGAACACTCGCAGTACACGACGTCGTCGGTGCTGGGCGCCAACCCCGGATACATTACCACTTCCGCGGGACGGGCGCCGTTCGCCCCCGACCAGTACTATCGCGAGTACTTTGGCGGTGCGGCCGCCCCCGAGCCCGGCCCTTACGCCACTCAAATCAGGCAGACAGCGTCCTACGGCAGCGACGCCTCGGACGCCGGCGCCGTGTCCAACGCCGCGGCCACCGCCTCCTTCGTCGAGCGCTACGTTCGGCAGAGTTCGTACAACAACAAAGGCGTCATAGCGGCCGCCGGCCTCACCGTCGACCTGCCGTCACCCGACAGCGGCATCGGCGCAGACGCCATCACTCCCCGCGACCAAAACACCATCCAACAGGTAAGCAACGATCAAGTCCGAAGCTTGCCACCGACCATTAAAAAATAGAAATTACCGTAGCGAACAATTTACACCGATGACTCATATTACATGCACGATGCTAAATACGAGTGGTTTAATCGAATTACACGCATGGTATTACGTTGCGCTGTGTAACTATTTATTTATACTTTTTTCCGTCTTCTTCATCGATTCGGTTCTTTACATAACCTATAGAATTCGCATTGTTCGCAGATCACACTCGCCGTAATTGCGGCAAATGTATATAAAAAAAACTTACTTTCACATTTCACTGATAACAGTAACGGTCCACCTATTATATGATAAATCAACGATATACAAAAAAAAAAACACATACCTACCTATTTACTAGCAAAACGTTTAGAAAATAGAACCTAAGCCTTTTTTAAAATTTTTTATTTTACACCGTTTTGGTACTGCTTATGTAACAAGTTTTTTTTCTATAATATTTCAATGCTATATTATATATTAATATTGTTTGAACGGAGTTTATATATTTATACGGTTGCGTAAACAATGATTAACAGCTCGATGGAATCCTTAAAATATCAAATATCCTGTTGATCTAATATAAACACCGCGCATATGATATAAACTCAACTAGACCATTCGTTTAAGTATCGCGTATTGAGGTTGGTTATTGATGTATAGTAACCTGTAACGGGTTTCTATTGCTAGATATTCTTCTAACCATACTATTATATTAAACAATAAAACCTTCCATACTTAAAAAAAAACCAACGAATATCACCGTGACCGATGTTCTTACATATGACGATGATTTTATTTTTTTGTTCTTGCGTTTCTGGAGGTGTTTATCCAAATGATTTGCACGCATTTGATTTGTCTCTCCGCTTGAATGCTTCCCTACGATCTTCGGAAATTCAGGCTCTAGCTCTAAATTTTTTTTTTTTAGTCCTGTTGTGATGTTTTATTAACGATTACTTGTGTTTTGTTTTGTCCGCACAGTCTTTCGATTACAGCGAGATGTGTCAAACACCGGGCATGCTCGGTGAACACCAAACGCAGAGGACGCCCACCGGTGGCCGGTCGAGACCGTGGCACGACTTTGGCAGGCAAAACGACGCCGACAAAATCCAAATACCAAAAGTGTAAGTATAATGTGCATAATTATTATAGTTGTGTATAATCATCATCATCTCGGCCACTGTTGCATTCGAAAGCGGCGTCCGAATGAGAATTACAATGAATAAAAAAACCATAAAAATAATTTTTAATCATGACTCGATAATATAAACGGGGTAAACGCGACGGACAACGGACTTCACTTTCGCAACTAGTTTTTTTTTTTTTTTGGGAGACAGTTTTTTTTTAAGACTTTCCGGTATTGTCGAGATGGCGGCCAAAATTTTTTTTTCTTTTAAAAACGAGATAATAAATTCCGGCATCGATATTTTCGTCTGCGTCGTTAAAATTGTTCAAAACCAGTTTTTGTCATCAGGCGGATTTTCTTTCTCCAAAGCATAATATTATATTGTATTATTATTATAGTTAGTTTTTTCCCCTTAATATATATACATGAATTTTTTGTCGGTTCGCCCGGATTCCGAGTGTGCTAGATTATTATCCAAAAGTATATATAATATATGTACATGATAAATATATCGGTGCGACCCACTTTGCTCGCTAATTTTTTAATCAACCGCCTCCGGATGCTGGTGTCCACTAGTCGTTCCTTTTTTTTTTCCCTCCGAAAAAATATACCCACCGATATATGGGCGTGGCCTCGTCCATATACAATACACATGCTCGTTTACCGTACAATAATATACAATGTGGCCCCTTTGGGCGCGAGTAGAGTAATCTATTTTTTTATTTTAAACCACACACATACGCATATGCACTGTACACGATCTGGATACCGTATTTTAGAAACGCCCTGTAGAGAATTCCGCACGGATATAATCTGTCCGGCGGAAACCGTTTAATTACCCACAGAGAAATCGACCGTTTTCCAATTATAAATAATAACGAGAAACTATATATTATTATTATAATCTATTATGCGAATCGTTTTTTTCTTTACTTTTTGTCTTTAATAATTCATTAAAACCGGAGAAATCAATGTATTACGGGTATACTTAAAATCGGCTTATGAATTATACTCCATTGATATAACGTGAGATTTAAATTAAAAATTTGCAACCAGTTTTTTTTTTTTTACACCAAACTGACAGGCGCGTTTAGCAGATTTCATTATGAGTCGGAGGGTCGAAAATGGGTTTATTCCGCGTGGCTAATCTGTGCTTATAAACGGTATACGGGAAGATTACAGATTTCAATCATGATAAATATATAAGCATATAATCGGATTGCTTAAACAAAATGAACGCCCTTGATAATGGCGTGCGTGTTTTTCTAATTAAATTGTCAATTTATAATTATTATTGAGCGCCAACGCTGCTTGCCCATTATATGATGTTGGTATATCGATGGTTTTCGTTGTTTCTGTTGTAGATTCTCAAACTACGGGTTCCGGTATTTCTTGGAATCGCCAATCTCCACCAACCAGAGACGCGAAGACGACCGGGTGACGTACATCAACAAAGGTCAGTTCTACGGCATCACATTGGAGTACATCCCGGATCCGGACAAGCCGTTGACCAGCCAAACAGTCAAGGTAAAATAATAAACATTATGTTATCAAACATTATATAGGTACTGATAATTGATGAGAACGAGTTAAGCCAGTTTCGGTTTTTTTTTTTAAATGTATCAAAGGGACCCGGCAAACGCGATCCGATCAAAAACTCACCATCCACACATGCACTCAATATGTATAGTAAATCATTTGAATATGTCGTTCAAAAAAAACCAACCGCACTCGGTCGACTGCAGTCCGTTTAAATGGCGTGCGTGACTTTCACCGGGGAGTTTTATCAGTTCATTGCGGTCATATTTATCTTGGCGCAAATCTAATGAAAAAAAAAAAACATAAGTGTGTGTGTGTAACGCAAACTCGTTTGAAATTATTAAAATATATAAAAAAGTACGTAGGCCATTTGTTTATGTTATAGAACTTGCACGCGCGGCCGAGGTGATCATTTCATTAAAAAAAAAACACTCAGACCTGAGGACGATTGAATAATAATATATAAAATATGTACAACACGTCATAATAATATTCTATTTCACCCCGTCGGTATAAGTCTTATCTCTGGCACAAATCAACGGCGGCCACGTGAAAGTTTTGCGCGCATATATAATATAATGTCGGGGCTAAGGCCGTTTGTGATATCCGAGAGCCCAGCACATGTATTATGCGGTTTTTATTTTCTGTAACTTGACGCTTATACGGCAGATAAATAAGGGCCGGAGTCCGTTGCCCGGGGCCCGAAAGCCAACCGTCGTCGTCCGGCAAAGTCCACCGTTGTCTTTATAATATATCTGGCTCGCGGCCGGTCCCCACCCGGGTGTTTTGAGGTTAAGTCAGATTTTGTAATTCTTGAAAATAAAAATTGTTTAAAAAAAATCCTATATGGATGGACTCTATCTGTTGTTGTGTACCGCGCGCACTTACAAACACGAACACCCAGCATCGTCGTCGTCGGTCGTCTGGATAATAATAATAATATATTAATATAATAACCGCCAATCGAACTGCGTGTAGGGATAGCACTATATATATATATGTATATGTATAGAGGTATAAAATTATTATTATTATATATTTTTATCTCGAGGCTATCGCGGACGAGACGGCGGCGGTCAATGGGTATACACCGGGAGAACTCTCGGCTCGAGGTGATTATTAGATAGGCGCTACTAAATGGTTGCAGGGTAGATTGTCGTGATTGGGATTGAGAGGAGGTGGGCAGGTCGATGACCAGAGTCTAGTCTGAAGCCTTGTTTTGGGCACTTAACGTGTTATTATAATACACACACACACACACACACATATACATGTATTATTATATTTTACTTCCATTCGAAAGAAAGTAATTGGACCGTCTTCTTGTAATGATCGCCCGCCGCCACCGCCGCCTGCCACGTTTGCCTCTACCTACGCCCTCGTGTCTCCCGAGATTTTCATCTAAGAGCGTTATACTTTTCATCTCCGTTTTGTTTCTCTCTCTCTCTCTCTCTCTCTCTGTTTCTATTTCTTTTTCTTTTTTTACTACACACGTCTGACATCGCTCGGCCCCTTGAGCCGTGTTTTCATTTTGAGATCGTACGACTTAATAGTCCGTAGCCTATAGTTAAATTATCTGTTCGGCGGACTCGTTATTGAAGAACGGCTATGGCGCGACCGTGCACCATATAATAATGTATGCGGATCGTCCATGCTTTTAAGTGTATCGCCACAATAATAGTTTTCCAAAATTCCCATTGGCCAACGCTGTTCTGGGTCGCGCAAATCTTCCAAAGAGAGTTTTTCGATGCGATGATTGACGGACAAGCGGCCAAGGGCGTCTTTGCTTGAATTCTAATATATTTCGGTTAATCATGCACAACACAAAATTTAAAAAATGATTTAATATTTATATTTTTAATTTCCGAAAATAGCGTTCATCGTGTACAACTCGAAAAATCATATTAAAAATAAAGCTACTAGATGGTCATTATTGATTAAAGATATGGGCACCAGGTCTGTACCACGGTATACCATAGTCCATAATATAATCACTATCTTATATCACACTAGTAATCATACACAGGCTGATTTGTTCACCGAATACCATTCAGGTCGTGTATAGTTTCTGTGTGTGTGTGTGTGCGTGTAAGCTGGATCATAGTTCAATAATCACTCTATGTTTGGGATTTAATTGAGTTTGTTTTTTAATTAATCGCGAATTTCTTTGTGACCTCTAAACCACCCTCCGGCATATATATCCACGCTATGTGTGTTGTTATGCTGTGAATATGTATACTCCAAATATGTATATAAGTATGCGTGCATACTGTTAAGTTTCTACTCCCGAACATGCGTGTCGCTTAGGCAATATAATTGGTTTGCCCGCATGAAATTGATCCTGTAGAAATCTCCATATACTTAAGACGTATAACATGTAATTAAAAAACGTTGTCCGGTCGGAGGCGGGGAAGGGGGCCTGTATTCCACAGCAGCAGCCGCTGTGTTTGCCGGGGTGGCGGTCTCCGTAGGTAGAGCTATAGCTGTTGCGCTCTCCGGTTAAGTCGGGCTGAGATCAGTGATTTATGTGGTAGACAAATAAATGCTCTACCGGCGGATGCGTGTAGACTTGTGTATAATAATAATAATAATGGTTCTAGAAGTCGGATACAGCGATTGGTAATAACTCTAAAACTTGTCGCTGTGTCCGACTGTATAATATACCTACTACATGTACAACGTGGCTACTCCGCCGTTTCAATAATTCATAAGTTTTTTCGCGGCCAACACAGGCGGAGTCTGTGTGCATTAGTTCTGTAGCGGTCCGGGGAAGAGAGCGAGAGGGGTCGCAGCGTGTACCGGGTGTGACTGCAGTAGGAATATGTACATTCATCAGCATACTTATATGAATTTGCAGTACATATTATATAGATATATTGTTTTTTTTTTTCGAAACTCCTACGCTCCCGACTACCGCACGGCGAGTCGAGTAGAGCCCAGACGGCGCAAAGCTGGGAAGGTATTTGTTTAATTTTTTTTTTGTACTAATTCGATTTTGTACGGCCGTCGTACCTATGTAAAGTAACACTATACGCTAACGGTGATTTTTTTTTAATGTAAAGAGATAAAAAAAAAAACGCACCGTAAATGAAATATCTCGGCGAGGGATAAAGGGTAATAACGAAAACGAAACTTGACGGGCGTTAAAATCTCCACTCTTACGTTATACTATTATAATAATATACCGAACACACATCACCGATTTCGCTCTTTGTAACATATATATCTATAATAATAAATATATTATATACACACACACACACACACACGGCGACGGAGACGACTCTAAAAGGAAATTCTTGTTCTGTGAGATTAGGCGACGGCGGCGGCGTTGAATTTATAATGTTTTTTTATATTATTACTTTTTTTTCTTTTTTATACAACACACATCGGACGAACATCTCGGATTCTTGGGGTCAATTGTCAACTCTCGGCTATATTGGATTTCATGATGTGTGCCTCTTCTACACACACACACAGAAACGGATAATGTATTATGCGCGCACCGCAGTTCTCACGGGACACCTGTCTTACGAATTTATCTTTTATTTTTCCGCCTGTGGATTCCGATGGAAATTATCTTTTTTTCGTATCTGTCAGATCGGTGTCGCACATAAAATATGCATATTCTCTATAATACAAGAGCGACGGCGGCGGCATCGTAACACATTTCATGTATATTGTATACATTTTTTTTTTACTTTATATACCCAATAAATTATCGTATACCGCGCATATTAAACCGACCGAGTAAATATATATATATATTATAATAATTTGAATACGCCGTTTATTACTATTATTATGATTACTCTCCCTACCCATTAGCTTTAGCTCTTCTCTCGCCAGACAGAAGCATTTGAAATAAACGAAAATTATGTTTTTATCGTGTGAAATTCAGGATTTCGTGTGCCCGTGTACACGTAGGTATATGAGTGGGCGGTCGTTTTATTCAAAAAATGAAAATTTCAATCGTCCCGTCTTATCTGTAATAATAATATACAATATAATATTGTACTTTGTCCGCGTTACCATCATCATATTACTCAAGTGACCCGCGTGGTTAATTGAGAAACACAACAATATGATCCGATATCCACCACCTACTCTCTTAGCTTTAGTCACGGTCGTTTAAGTCTCTCTCGTTGTGTGTGTGTATAAAATAGCAGGTGGATTGTGCGGCAATCGATAGTTAATAGAAAAGAGGGAAAACGACAATCTCGGCAGCAGGTTGAAAAGAGCACTTTGTTGCGACTCTTTATAGACTGTCTTCCGGGTGGGTGAAGGCAATGGGGCAGGACGGCAGAAAGGATATATAATATTATTATGTATACGTACGTTGACCGAACACAAGAGTTATAGTGTTTAATAATATTATACTTGGCCCACGATTTCCCAAGGCCGAGTGCGTGAGGTTGCAAGTGTGTGTGTATAAAGAACTCGAGCACGTATTCCAAACCTCATTATGACCGATTGTTATTATTACCGCTTCTAGATTGTTTAGTTCAATTAATTCGAACGATTTTTTATAAATTTTTTTTTCTCATATCTATACAGTATACACACATACTCGGGACGATATTTTTTTTATTGCTTTTCCGGTGAAAACAATACAAAAGGGGTTCGGGGAGATTAAAAAAAAAATAATAGCAGAGCGTCTCCACCGCGAACACACGCATTACGGGTGAGTTTCTCGGTATTGCCGGTCACATGAGTCATTTGATTTCATTAAAAATACTATATATATTATGTGTGTGTGTGTGTGTGAGGAGATAACAACTGTAAATTACATTAAAACATTCGAAACGATCAGTATTAATTTTTTTTTATTTTACCGTCCGAACAAACGAAATAAACGGCCGCCGCGATAACTCTTTTGGCCTCTGACTCATCTGTTGTTGTGTAGTAAACCGTACAGCTTCTTTTGCTGACACACGGCGATGCTGCTGCCATCACTATATAGAATAATGCTATACACGCCTAATGGTTTGCCAAATCTATGATATATTACACTTTATACTTGCTACATTGTAGCGCCGATGACTCATTCGCGGCATAACTAATCATGTTAACGTTTATAATATTATTTAATATTTAACTGACGAATCGGTTTGTTATTTCGCAGAGCGTGGTCATGTTGATGTTCAGAGAGGAGAAGAGCCCAGACGACGAGATCAAAGCGTGGCAGTTCTGGCACGGCAGACAGCACAGCGTCAAACAGAGGATACTCGATGCCGGTAAGTCTGTCGTTTTTGTACAAAAATTACCTAACATTAAAAATGAAAAAACAATATGGATGGCCGCCGGCGCACTTTGAGATTTGTTTTAAATAAAACCACAAAACCAAAAATATGACAAATATCATGGCGTGGCAGACCCTGCCTTGATCCGCTCCGTTCGACGATCCTCGTGAAATCTAACACGGCTTCGTGTGTTTACCTGTGTAGAAAAGAGTTGTACATATTAATAATGGTATTTTAATGGAAGACGACCAAGACGCATTACGGTCCAGAATAAAATCAACGGACCGAATCGATGCGTTCTCGTGTTACACGTTCAGCGGCGGCGGCGGCGTCGTCGGGTTGACATGTCTGACCGGGCAAGACACACGAGCTGGAGACACACTCTGCATCTTATAGACACGTGTATAAATCCAACGGTATGGTAAACCATGGTGAGCCCATGCAATAGACACATTAGACGGTTATCGTATGCTGCATTTTTTTCCTTACCATTAATGTCGAGCCAATAACAATAACAATATTGCCGTTTTAATTATCAACGCGAACGTTACAAAATATAATAACTAAATAACATCCAGCCACGTATCTTTGTGTGTGTGTGTGTAAATATAGTGCACGGGTACATAAGTTTTTTTCGTCAAGAGATGGTAGCCTCGGATAAACAACGTGAGCACACACGGCGCACAGATTAACCACGAACACGTTTCGTTACTTAGAGTGCCTTTTGGTGGTGTTTTAACATACACGCATGTTATGTAGTGGATATCGTGTCCTATACGGTGCTGCATGCGGCTAGTGTACCCGAAACTGTGTAGGCACACGATCGTATATAGTAGAATACTATAATAGTAAACTAGTACTGCCGGGACATCTAATTTTTGGGTACAACGGTTTTGTTTTTCAATTAATTTTTTCCTCGTGAAAACCAATTGTTGATAATACTTCACTTCGGCCGGTCGATCGTCGCTCTTGTACATATAGATCATCGGCTCTCGCGGCGTGTTCGTGTTGGGCTATAAAACAAAAAAGTATTCTTTTCTCTAAACGATAAATCAGTCGAGCACATAACCTTTGCGACGCCTTCGTGTCGTGTGTCATTATCGTGTCCTTATTACATAAAGTATGGCGTACCGGAACGACTAGTAAGATTTAAAAACGGTAATGCGTGGAATTGTATAAAGTTTTTGACATTTAAAACTCCCCTGGGTTTTGTCTTGTTTTTTAAGTGAATAAAAGCCCACGTCTCGCTTGTAAACCTATCCAATGGGATAAGATTTCGAACGCCTTAATCCCTCCGGAAAATAAATCAAAGCTTCAATAGTCGTTTTGCGACTTGTAATATGATTTCATGTAAAACACTTTAACAGCTCTGTATCTAGAATTTCGCTTAGAGTAACCCGCAAGAGTTTCTAAACGTAAGAGTTACCTACCATCGACGTGTGGCGGTCAGTGGTCAATGCTCTTGTGGAAAAGATTTCATTTTGAAATAATTATTAATGTCGTCCCGCTGGAATGATGTAACGATGTCACCGAGAGTTGCACTCCCTTTTTTTGCACAACTTGATAAAAAAAAAAACATACACTGTACTATACTCCCGGCCTTTTACGCCGTATTAATTGTTCGTTCCCTTAAACAGTGCTTGTATTTCGCTCGGCTGTTGTGTTTAGTGGACACGGAGCGCATACCAAAATGCCACTTCCCCGAGCCGTTTCCTTCGGCGTACGCTATTAGAACAGAAAAAACATAGAATAGATACAGAAAAAAAAACTATATATATAGAGTCCATCCGTATTTGTGACAAATCCCAAAATGGACAAGCCGCCGCCGTGTACGTGAACTGGAATCCGTCGGAGTTTTAATACATATAGAAATAATATCTGGAATGCAGTTTTACACGCGTGTACGTCCACTATGTAAACGAAAAAAATAAGAAAAAAATCGATAAATTAAATTAAATAAGATTTCTCGGTGAATATTCCTTTACTCCTTATAGGAATATAAATTATGTAGAAGAATTAACCGCCTGCGCGCAAAGGACATGTTTAATGTTAATTAAGACGGACGGGGAGAAGCGTCGGTTGTGGGATACATACATTAAAACAGTCCCGACTTAAAAAAAAAAAAAATTATTAAAGATAATACTCGGCCGGACAGATACAAATCCGATGTGTTTTTTTTTTAATTGTGTACAATACACCGAACGTGATCCTTATTATTTTAATGTAACTTTATTTTGTTTACTTATTTTTTACCTTGTCCGCCGTCGGTCTTGTATTCGATTGGGTTTACGTTTGTCGAACGCGGACCCTCAAAACGTGTTGTAGGTATAAGCGTGAAGTCAAGCTTAAAAAAAAACACACATTCAAAAATATATATTATAATAATATATTATCCGTGTGTGTGTGTCTCCTGCGCTCGCCCGTCCCGTGTAAGGTCATCGTCGATCGGTGAACCTAAATAATTGAATTGAAGGAAACAAAAAAAGATCTCGAGGAGGAGGTAAAACAAATAAATGTATACAAATTAAAGTCAGATAATAGTATAAATATATTATATTGTGTGTGAGTGTAGTTAGGCGACGGCGCATTTCCCTAATTGACGTTATCGAAAAACAGCCATCTTCCTGTATGTGTGTTATATACTCAATATATGTATATTATTTATTCGGCATTCGCTTACGACTTGGGTGAAGTTTTTTAAACGAGACGAAAAACTAAAGAAAAAAAATAAGAAAAAGGGCTCTCGGTTACATGAAAATCCGCATTGTCCTGTTTGGGCAATATTTATAGTTTTCGTCCACCGAGCAAAGAAAAAAAATAACACAAATGCTCCAACACAACAACAATGGTCTACTGTGTTTTCGAGATCGTAAATTCATATTTTTTTTTTTTTTGTATACCTCCACGACTTCCACTCGGCTATATATAAAATTGATATAGGTATATTTTAATATACAAATGGTCCATTGTTTCGCGTTTTCAACAGACCGCCGTTTTTGTCGTTTGTATTTCATCACTAATACATAATATATCTAAACACTATTAAATATTCAAAAATAATAATATGATCTTCGTGGAGAGTTCAGTTGTACTTCATCTACCTATTATAAACAATCGAATAATTTGATATTTGATGTTTCCGTGTTTTTCTTTTTACCATTGACTGACATGTTTATGCGCATAATGTTTTTAAACTCTAGTTCATTAAAAGCTCATACAGGGCACCCGAACGTATGCGTCCTTTTTCTGGGTGAAACACTGACCACACGGACCGCCGCGATTTCTATGGCTCTTTATATACTCACACGGTGCGCTTTGCAACCCTTGGGCGACAATGGCGATTTTAAATATCTGCAAAATAGGCTAGGTACAAGTCCGGCGCTGCTCGGCCCGGAGCTGCGATGTCTGGACAAAGACTCGAGACGATAAATATATGTATAATATCGTATAAACGCCTTCAGTCGCTGTATGACTCCTGTTATTATAATTATAACCCGCGGTGTGTGCGTCGATTTCGCACGGCCCCGAAAAACGGGCGGAATATAATAATATTATACATATTTACGGTATCTATATGGTGACGGCGTCGGCATGGTGGTACACGGGAAGAGCATGGGAGTGTAGGGGCTACACGAGCGTAATCATAATCATCAGAAGTCCATTATTTATAGTAATAGCGCTTTTTAAACTGGTTATTATATTATTATACACAGTCGACTCCAGATTAAAATACCCACCAGATATGTGTACGTTATAACCCTTTAGGTCTATATTAAAGTGCACCTGTACACATGTCGAGATGTATATAATATACATACAGTGCAAAGTCTGGTATAATATAATATATATTTCAGTGCCGAGCTGGCGCGCGCGTCTGGACCTTATAAGCGTTAGTCAATTTTTTTTTTTGTTTAACGCGTATATACTAACATGTCCAATAGGGGAGCACCGACCGACGGGTTTGCGCTCCGATGAAATCGTGCAAGGAATTATTATGTATTAATACTACTGACTCTCTCTGATGGAAGCCTATAATTATTATTTTATTTTATTCCTATTCTCGTCGACTACTACTAGCGCTTTCCTATTTAATAACGTACAACGTTGTTATTACTATTTTAAATATTGACCCAAATCACGTGTGACGATAACAAATACATCATAATATCGAATTGGATATTTACTTAACTATGCCGTGAGTTAATCAGGTTGTAACCAGCCACTGAAATTGGGTATTTCACACAGGCCGTAACGCATAATTTTAACAAAAATAAATACTTGTCCAAACCGTGACTGCGCTCGATCACTACGGTGAATTAATTATACGCTTTTTCTGCGCGGGCACGTCGACCTTTACCCTTTTAATTACTCCGTCGCACACGGATCCCAGTATGCTTTTTATAACCTAATACAACGTGTATGTTTATTGTAATTACGTGTCCGAATAAAGAGACGTCCGCGTAGTTTTGAAGTTATTCGGCCGCCGATAATAATTGTTAATCGTATGGTAATGCATTATGTAAAATATATGTATTTTATCCGACACCGAGTGAGTGTACTATAATAATAATACGTTCATGTTGCCCAATGTCTAACGCACATAGGCGTCGCTGTGACCGCTTTTCCGCCTGATAAAATTTCGTATAAAAATAATTTATGAACGCACTCCGGGTCGTTGGCGACGCACATAATATGTTATATCGATACATGTGGCCTGTCAGATGCAGCGTCCTGTATATGCAAATCTCGTCTTGTTAGCCGAAGTCTTCTACACACGTTACAATTGGATATCGGCCAACGACGGTCGTCTTTGCACCACATTAAGTCCGTGTTTGTGTCCGCGTTTTTGGGTTTTCAAAAAAAAAAAAAAAAAACCCGCTTGCAAACGTGTGACGACGATAACAGTATATTAATTATATTTAATGGGCTTTGCACGAATTTTGGGGATAGGTCGCGGCTCTACATTAGAACAGTAAATGACGGGCAGATTAACGAAATCGCTCCTTCCTTAGCACGTTATTATTATATATTTTTTTGGCGCACTCCTATCCGGTTTTTGACTTTGACCCGTTATAATAAAGTCTGTATGTATGTGTGTGTGTGTGGGTGGGTGGGTGGGCGGATTATTCCAGACCGGAAAAACCTGAAGACGCGAAGCTGGACGCGTTCAACCCGATGACCCATATGTTCTGCATTCACACACACACACTTGTTTATATCTATATAAAAAGGCCCCACTGGCTATGTGCAATCTGGTTCCTTTCCGCGTCTGCGGTTTATGTATAGTACTATAACGTGCGCGGGATGGCTGGTATACACACACACACACACAATCGGACAACAAGACTTGTTATTGAAATCGAGTTGTACTATGTGTAGTACACATTATTTCATTCATAAAACAAAAATCAAATAACCGGCATTTACCGCGGGTGCGATATCGGATCCAGTTCTATAAACAGATGTAGTATAGTTGTAGTTGTTGTTGTTGTTCTATGCAGCTGAACTCGTCTAGCCCGCAGTGTCCATATACTTAATGATATCGTATTAATATGTATTATATTATACAAATCAGACCGATATTATGTTTGCCACGTTGTTTTTTTGAACATTTTTTTGTCGTGGGTTTGGTGAATTAATACCTCTCTGTATATTATACGCCGCCAATGCTCATTGGCTTGTGCCCGGCGATTTCCGTTTGCCGACTGCCAATGTAATATGTATTTGTAAGCGAATACTTGGCTCGGTGCCATGACGCGCGTCGGATATATATATATATATATATATATCGGTTACCGTCGCCATATTATGCGCGTTTAAATTATTTATAAGTGTGCGAGCGGCGGCCATCGCGACATCCGTTTTATTTCTCTCGTCGTATGTTGTGTACATGGCATAAAACGGCATTCGATTAAAAATAATGTATTGGAATGACACAAAACATTTTTTTGAAATAATAATAATAATAATAATAAACCGTTATGATTTTTAGACACGAAAAACAGCACTGGTCTGGTGGGATGCATCGAAGAAGTATCGCACAACGCCATCGCCGTCTACTGGAACCCTCTGGAAAGTCCGGCAAAAGTAAGTTGACAGTGCACATTTTGTATTATATTCCGATACTATGAGACATAGATACAACAATTTTAAAATTCTTCTATGGGTAACATGTACACGGTCAGCTAATAAATATACTGCAGTGCACTTAACCGTCTCTATCGTTAATATAAAAAAAAATAAAACATTATTGAAAATGGGTTTCTTCTGAAAATGGCTGGTGATTTTTTTTTTTACTTAATCACATTGATTTTTCCAAATATTCTAATCATTTGAACACCGAGAATACGTGTCATTCGCTATTCGTCCCTCTTGTGGTTTTTACAAGGCGTGGGTACAGTGTCTATAGACTTATTGAGAATTCATTCACGACAAGTCAATTATTTATAGCTTAATTATTATCACTTTCATAGTATACCCATATGTACTCGTTGAGTATACGCACTATACGTGTGTACCGAGAGACAATAATTATCATTATCATCGAGTAATGAGAACGGTTTTATCCTTATACACATGTGTGTGTAATGTATTTTTTTAACCTGTCGTCCGAATTCCTGACCGTCTACGCGGCGGTGTATGTAATGGCCGGTATTTTTTTCTAAGGAAATCGCGCCGCCGAGTATTTATCTTTTAATAATGGTAATTAATATCTACATCACGTAGAAGCCGCGCAGAGAAGTGAAACGAAAAGAGATTATATATATTTTTTTTCTTCTTCTATATATTATATACGAACTTCTCTGGTTGGTTGGTGGTACGGCTGCTGCCCAAGATGTATCTATATGCATGTGTGTTTGTGTGATGCATTCGATATCTATAAGAGAGAGAGAAACGATTACCCGAAGGCAATCGTTTGTGTGTGTGTGCCAAACGAGGTTAAAAAACCCATTCAGAGATGCCACACGGCGAGCGATTTTGAAATCGAAATTTACACAAAATAATCCAGATTATAATATTATTAATATACACTTGACCCGAGGGTACCGTTCACAAAATGTGTAAACGCACACAATTTCGATATGATTTTTATTGTTATTAAAGAAATAATAGTGATTATGTAGGTGATTGATGGCACACCTTGTACTTACTCATGTTTTAACTGTTTTCATTCTTCGTTTCAGATCAATGTCGCTGTCCAATGCCTGAGTACGGATTTCAGCAGCCAAAAAGGCGTAAAGGTAATACTTGCATACTTGAACATAATTGTATTACTCGACCCTGGGTTGTAGGACGAATATTATACCCTTCTCGTTGCTCCTTTGTACGCGACGATAATAAAATAAAAAGATAGAAAGAAATAGAAAAGACAAAAAATTACTACCTATTAAAAAACGAACTCACGCTGGTTTCCTTGTCCGGACAAGGGTTGGGGGAGTCCTAATTGGAGTCCCGTGAATGTGAATTGTTTTTTTTTATTACTCTGTACCCTATGACCCCTAGTTTTCTTCTTTGTATAATATACCAAAACGTATAAAATAAATATATTATTGTTCTTTGTCGAAAAACATCTTCCAAGGTCAAATGTATTTTTAGTAATCAACGAACCGCGAATAATCATATTTTTTAATAATTAAAATTAAAAAAATCCATGCTAGTGTATTTTATGCAAATGCTAGTACCGAACCTTTGTTAATTAACTCTATACTTACCTCATCAATGTGTAAGTGTATGTGTACATAATTACCTTGGATTATTATTATTAATAAATGACCGTTAACACGGTCCTGCAGTGTATTTTATGTATATATATATATATTATATACTATTAGCTTTGTTGATACATACTTAACAATAATTATAATACGTAGATAATAAAATCATACTCAATAATAATTGCAGATTGCTTTTTTGCGTTTATCTCGGTTCGATTACGCGTGTACGAACCTGCTACCTTGGGCTAATTGAAACACACAACATTTTGTATATTATTATTTATACTTGAACGCGGATAGTAAGATTTATTAAAGAACAACAACACTATTAATTTTAAACGGAACGCGTAATAATAATAATTTCCAGTCCATATCATACTACGTTTCATACAGAGTTATGCTAGACCGATTACGTTTGCTGCAAACGTACAAAAAGTCAATGAGGTCAATCATTATTATTTACACACAACAAATCATATCTTTATAGTTTTAATCAATGTCATGTATGTGTGTGTGTGTGTTTAGTTTTTAAACTAATCCGTATATTTCGTTTTCAGGGTTTGCCGTTACACCTACAAATCGACACCTACGAAGAACCCAGAGACGGACCCGTCTATCACAGAGGATACTCTCAAATCAAAGTTTTCTGCGATAAGGTGAGTTTCGTTTGTGGTATATGCCAATGAGCTGTAACATAGTTATTATTAAAAAGTCAGAGCCGGACCGCTGGCAAGTCAAGTCGCATGCCGTGCACATCGTGTTCTTCTGTGATAACTGATAAGCGTCTTCGGTCGTACCTAATGATTGTGTTCTTTGTTGGTAATCCGAGACCGAAACATGCGTACATGGATACCGCACGCGCCGGAGGTAGTTGAGGAAGGAAAAGCTAAACGTACATTATCTTTTTTTTTTTTAATTAATTTCGCACCGCGCCTAACGTTAAAGTCCCTCTCTCTTTCTCTTCGGTCCGGGCACGCCGCCACCGCCGTCGCGCATAATATGGTTTATGGTTATAAATGTTGGCGATTACGTGCCGTGTATACACACACACTTATGTATGTACAGTCAAGAGCGTTTATAATGTATATAGATACATAAACACAGACCGAGGAAAATATGTGCCGTGTCAATTAATGCCTCGCCGAAGTGGTCATTTATTTTTCGGCCCTCGGTAGAAAAAAAAACCTCCTTGGCCGCCGCAATGGAGCATAATATTATATCTTACCACGAGATCGGACACACAAAACAACGCGCCATGTAAAACACAACGCAGCTGGAATAGGTTCATACATATATCTATGTACATGCGTTTATGGTGTGTGTGTGTGTCTTTGTGGTACGTTTTTTTTTTTACTTTTTTAACCTCCTAATTTACTGCACGCAGCTCTTTTATTTATCTATATATATATGTATGCATGCGTATTATTATGTGTACATGTATACTCCTCGGTGGACCACCGAAGAAATTAACTGCCTCCGCGTTCTTGTTTTTATTATTATTATTATTATTATTATCATCTAACGTCACATATCATCCAAAAATATTTTTATACATATTTTTTTTTTATATCGTACAAGCCGAGACGCTGATACCTTACAAACGTGAAGGCAGCAGCAGCCCCATCGTGTATCATATTATAATATAAACTATCTCGTGCAGACAAAATATTAAAGATCATATTCTGGAAAATAAACGTATTGTGGCTATTCGATTCCCGCGGCGTAACTTGTATGTTTAAGACAATATAGCGTGTGTGTGTGTGTACAAAAAGAATATATTTGAATTTAGTTGATCTCGTCTTTACCAACCTACACGCTTAATAAACGTACATTTATCTGATATTATAGTTGTACCATTTAAGGACTTAGATAACAGATGTCTTTTATTTTTTTATTTATTAGGGCTTGAAATTAACCGTACTCTTTTTTCTTGGGTTATTGTCCTTTAAGATCATCCGTTTTATCTTTCAGCCGTGATTTCTGCAGTCGACAGAATCTTAATAACATGCATTTTGAATACGAATTTTCAACTTCTGAAGAATCTCGGATATTTGCCCACAGCTCTCCTTCACTATGTATTTGTAATTTGATGGGTTACCACTTGACCATTAATGTTTAGACCTTTTCTGTGTATAGTTCAATGGACCACGTGTACCCAGTCACAATTTGCCGACATTGTGCTTCTTGTGGCGTCAACGGCAAACTATAATATAATTTCTTATTGCCACGTTATAGGTATAATCTTCCTACCGAGATTACATTATATTATATTATTATTTAATCGAAGATTTTTTTTTTATTACTTTATAGAATGTAATTTTTTATAACCGACTGCGACATTTCGAAACGGTATTTATTTTTTTTTTTTTTTACTCGTCTTCTCTTCTTCTCGACACGAATTTGTACTCGGACAAAAATAAAACGTACAAATTATTGTTGTACGCGTATACCGGGCGGTTGTAAATACATAATAATTTACAGCACCGCGTTCCGGGGTGCGCTTCGACCCTATAATAATAAAGTACATTATAAAAACGCAATCGTAAAACCATAAAACGGCTACAACCGACAGCGGTTAATGCGTTCAATCCGAATTTCCTCGGGTCTGCATACAGCCGGAATTTCATCATTATTAAAATACACAAAAAGATGTGGTTCGTGCATTATTTCCCAGACTGGACGTGCCGCCCCGTCGTCGATCATAGTCGTTTTGATTTTTGTACGAATTATGATTAATATATTATATTTTTTATATACATTTTTTTCTTCTTTCTTGCGGTCGAATTTGTGCGTGTTGTTGTTAAGGTCGCGTTTAGCCGATTGACATTTGCACCACACGTCAGTCGCGCTACTTTTATACATTTATCGGCTCATTAACATCAAAGGAGCCGAATCAACCTTGAGTGGGGAATACAAGTAGGCTTACGAATCGTTGGCAGACGTCAAGTCGATATTATTGTGAAAGACCGGAGACGCGCGGGGAATGTCCCGTGTAAACATTTTATTTTAAAAAAATAAATAAAATAAATTGTTACCACGATCCAGAGTCGTTCTTGAGGAAAATCGCTTTGCCTGTAATTACATATTATTATCATCGTCATCCGTTCCGTTCGTTACCGCGCGACGACATTGTATCAAATTCTCTCACGTGACACTTGAGGACACACACACACACACCTCGCATACTTAAGCCGTTTTTACACATTTCGAAAAACCGCGTTAAGCCGTGCCGCCGGGATTTTTCTATCTGGCTTGAAAGCTCTTCTACTTCAATGTCGTGACGCGGGCATTTGATCTTGGATGTCGTATACACACTATTAAGTCTTACGTCACGCGGTCCAAAAACAAAGTAAAAAAAGGAAAACGGCTTATGAAGTTAAAGCGATTTAGTCTACTTCGTAATTTTGAATTTAATTGTTCGGACAAGCGTTTTTCAAAATACCTTAACACGGTTGGACTGAAATTATCGCATGCAAATATTCACATTGGATCAATGGAATACTTCGTGCCCATTCGTGTTTGGTCTGTGGTGTTTTTGATATGATTTACAGCGAAAATATAGCGTTTCCTGGCTAATATATATGTATATGTATATTGTATAGGCTAGCCTACAGGTACACCGCGACAGCTTTCCCGGCTAATGCGCGTCACTATGTTGTTGGTGTGCGCCGAAGGGAAAAAAACGATAAATTGAATGGTAAAAAAATAAATTTTTTCGTTTAATTACGGTTTTATTGATTTACTGGTACCGGCCACGGACAGTTTATGATTTACCGACCGTGGAAAAAAATGTAATATACTATAATATATTATATTATTATTATATACCTAGTATAATCGTTTAAATTACCGGCCGGCGGTGTGTGTGCGCTCGCGTTGTTGTAAACATTCACAACGTGTAATCTTTTATTTTTTTTTTTCTTCATAATAATATAAACGATTTATAACGGCTGGACCGTCGGCGTTCGCGGGTTCTCAAGAATTAAGACCATTACATTTTATAAATCAAAATATATATAACGCCGCGTTGTAATATGTAAAATTACGGGTTTTGTCGCGGGTTCGCGACAAAACCCGTAGCTATTTATAATTTAATGAAGGTGTACTCGTTTTTTTTTTGTTGTGGTGGTGGTGGTTAGGGGGGGACTGCTCTATTGCACCGTCTTTTGTGTATGATATGTTATATTATATTATTATTATATTTTTGAAATTTATAGACAACATTGTACATTCGGGCTGACTTTAATTGGTGCGTTTTTATAGGGAGCCGAAAGGAAGACCAGAGACGAAGAACGGCGGGCGGCCAAGAGGAAAATGACGGCCACTGGTCGCAAGAAGATTGACGAGCTGTACCATCCTCCTTGCGAACGATCCGAGTTCTATTCGATGAGCGACCTCAGCAAACCGCCAGTACTGTTTTCGCCGGCCGAAGACATTGACAAGGTAAATAGAAAAAAATTAAAATACTAATTATTTTACCGGGTCGACCGACGGTTTTGTAAATATTTTATTTTGTTAAAGGAAGGACGATTTAAATTCGATTTATTGTTTTCAATGCCAAACGTTACATGAATGTTTAATCTATAATTCTGTGGTCAATTTCCGTAGAATGTAAAATTATAACAAATAGTATATTAATATATTTTCGAATGTCGTTTTTCGAGAGGTGAAATAAAATCGTATAATATTAACTGACAACATTCTTAGACCTAGTTTCGGACATCACATTAAGAAAAAAAGGAATAATATTGTTCAATGACATTTCGTGGTGAGTTTGTTTCAACGGAAAATCGTCCGAAAATCGTATGATTATTTATTCACTTCTCGCGTCCTTGCTCTTTGGCTTGTTGTTGTATATACCGCGTCCCCGCAGATTATTTACACATAAAAGTGATCAAAAAATAGAATAGTGTTGTGTTCTTGATTACATAATGTCGTTTACCCGTACAGCTTTATTTTAAACAATATATAGGGTTTGCCGCCGATGATGTGACTAAAGTACAATGTATTAATAGAAGTGTTTGATCACCGTGTTACACACTGTGTATTAATTTTAAGTGTAAACTGATTTGGTTACTTGTTTGTTTGTCAACACTCAAGATTATACAACCAATAATCAGTAGTCGAGTATACAAAAAAAATAAAAAACCTTATGAGCCAGCGATAGCATGTGTGATGATTATTATAATTTATTTTTATAATTGGCACAAAGTTTTAAATCGTACTGACGTTTTTGAAATTTAAAAAAAATAGCTCGATTTTTAGTTTGGTACTTTAAATAAGACAGGTGGAGGGGGAGAAAGAAGGTTACTTTTCGTGTAAAATAACAAAACCTTGAGATCAAAATTAATTCGGAAATTCCACGTGTACATAATTTAACCGTCCACAATTTTAATAAACATGTATACAATTTGTGTTATATAACAATATCGCTTTATAAAACTGTTACCTCGTGCATTGGGTTTGTTGTAAAATTCTATTTACTTTTCAGACACGTCATTTTTAAAAAAAAAACCAAATAAAATTAAAATTCAATCGATACTATATTATTAACGAGTGTTTTCTTTTCTCGTGTGTTCATCAGCTGACGTCGATGGAACTTCAAGGATTCTACGGGCACGACACGGACACGTCCAGCCTATCCAACGGCGAGCCGGGTTCGCTAAAACACTCCTCGCCGTTCCTGTTACACTCCGGCGTGGCCAACAAGCCGGCAGGCACCACCACCCAAACGCTCAAGTTCCACAACCACTTCCCGCCGGACACGCACAGGTGAGTCGATCGGCTCCAGGGCTTTATTTTTTTTATTTCCTGTCAACGTCTGCGGCCAGTAGTGTTATGTAGAAGCCCTTCAACAATATGCTAGAATCCAGAATCTGTCCGATTGTGTTGGGACGAAAATGACAAAGTACACTGTGTACATACTACTGGCCGCGGTGCGGTTTCCCTATTGGGGTTTTTTTTATTATCCATTATGTGTGTGCGAGTTTAACGACATGGTACGAAATGTTTTTTACAAAACAGCGTGTGTTATTACAACAGCGAGAAGAAAGAAGTGTTGGACCAGAGCGGGCTGACCACGGACGGCACTGTGTTCTCGAGTCCGCCCAACAAACGGTCAAAGCTGGTGCCTCCCATCAACGAACGGGTCATGCTGTACGTCCGGCAGGATACCGAAGACGTGTACACACCCCTGCACGTCATACCGCCGACGACCCAAGGACTTTTGAATGCTGTAAGCACAGACTTCATTTATTATTGAAGTACACTTATTGCCCGGACAAGTATATACATACACTCTATTATATTTTTTCTTTTTTTCAAATTAATTTCGTATATAAAATAATATATCCGTGCTGCTGCTTTGGATGATACTTATATACACACTTGTTGTTACATCACATCATAATATATTATTATTATTATTATTATTATTAAACACAGACTATAATATTATCCCGTTTACGTTTTCGTATAATATTACAATATTTTCTTTCCTTTTTAACAATAATTATTCTACTATCGTGTATGGTACACACACACTCACGCAAATAATAATAATGATGATACATTTGTCTTAATATAATATTATATTATAATAATAACGTATTCCTCTAACACGTTATATTTTCATAACGCTTCGGTGTATTATGTATTATACTTTTGATGTCACCACCACCACGGTAGCGGTCACTTTCCAAAACCCGTACTTATGTAACACTCCAGCGACAACCGAATATTCTCGATATTTGGGTGTACACGGTATAATTATCAAAAGAATCTGGACTATGTATAACTATATTATAATGATTATATTCCAACGCAATTATCGTCGTGATTGCGCAAACGTCACTGCCGGACACACCAATTACTCTATAAGGCGTTTTTGTTTATACATGCAAATCATTCAAACGTTGCCAAAGTGGTCGGATTAATATGCCTGATTTCCACGACCCAGGCGAAATACGCTTTTTAGTTTTATTCACTTTAAATTCACTTCATCGTTAGCTTACTAGTTGACTGCTCTTTAAAATAACGAAATTATTATTATTATTTTACTATTTACATAATATCTTGATCAGTGTCTTTAGCTTAACGTATCTTATGTTTCATTTTTCACAAGAGCTCACACAGTCACCCGTTCAGTGACATTAGCGCTCGGCTCTCCCTTAATAAACAACAAGCACCACTCATTCACACTCCAGACGTATCGCGCTCAGACTCTTGTTCACTATTCTAGAGCATTTGTAACAACCTTAATAATAATGTAGTTTCACAATGTCATATTATTGCTTGTTTTAACGCAGCATGGCTTATTCTCGGATAATTACACCTTCTTCTGGTAAGTGGTACATCTTTTTATCTCTAAATAAGTTTTACTCGCTTTGCATGGCTACTAACATTATAGTTCTCCTCAAAATCCTTTTCGTCCAAATCATCACGTTTACATTTAATTAGTTTATATAAATACATTTTTTTGGTCAATTTTTTTTTTATATAATAAATCGGAAATTACAAATTTAAACGTTAAATAAAAAAGAAAAGAAAAGAATAATAGAAGTGTTTGTCCAATTAAACAATTTTTTTTTTATCTAAGGAGTATCTCATTCTCCGTGTTAATTTTTATTTCCCGTTATTTTTCCAGATTGAGGCTAAGTACAAAATTTCTGCTTCCAGCATTAGTAACATGTATCGAAAAAACAAAAAAGGGTAAGTGGAAAAGTTTGATTGTTTTTTGTTGATTTTAGAATTTTTTTTTTTTTTTTGCAATACAATTCTTTCCCATTTTTAACAAATAATTGTTTTCATACATAACGTATTCTAAGGAAAATTTATTCCGAAAAGGTGTTTTATAATTTAACAACAAAAATAATTCTTAACAACGCTTAAGCAACTAATTTTCTGTGAGTTTGTGACCTACATACCTAATGGTCTTAAATAACCAAAACAATTATATTACTACTTTACCGCGGTATTCGAGATTTTCTAACCACCAAAAAACGGATGTAAAATATTAATTTATATACAACTAATTTGATAAATTATAAATAACCTGTATGAGTCTGTATAATATTCTAATAGAGACGTATTTTCTTGTTATTTTATCCAGGATTACGGCCAAAATTGATAACGACATGCTCAAGTATTATTGTAATGAAGATTCATTTCTATTAGAAGTCAGACACGCTGAAGAAAACGAAAACATGCTAGACATAATATTGATAGAATTTTTAGACCACTGAAAACAAATTGCACTTGTTTTGACGTGCAAAATCATTTAAAAATTCCTATCATCAATTACCAATTTATTATGCTCATTAAAAAAAAACATATTTTGTTTAAAAAATATGTAAGAATCATTTATCCAAGTTGATTTTGATTGCTAGTTTATAAGTGATTAGAATTAGATGTTTTGTGTAAATATTTAATATAGATATTTTGTATACAATTCAAAGCCATTTGAACATCCATGACAAATTGTGTTGTTCAGTGTTTTTTTTAACACTAAAATTTATGAGACAAATTTCCAAATTTTGCACACCTTATGCTCAGTCAATTTATTTTTAAGTTGTTTTTTAAAACAGTATTATAGAGGTTTATTTTATATTTGACCAAAATAAATTAGGTAGTATAGATTTTTTATTATTAAATGGATATTCGAATATGCATACAATTTTAACTTAAATGTGATACATAAATAAATAGTGTCAAACTACTTAGCCTTTAATTTGTATTATTTCAATTTTTTTTTATTGAATTTCGGTCGAATGTGATTTGAATATTGTAACTTAAAAGTATTAAACACAAAAAAATAATTTGCTCAATTTTTATGAGAAACGAATTAGTCTTGAAATAATGACAATACATTTTTTAATCAATATTGTTGTATCGTTTTTAGTATTTGCTCATATTATAACTTTGTCAATAATATACCTTTTTTTTTGTTTTATTTTATTGAGGGGCGAGGATACTATTATTATTATAAGAAAACGTTGATCAAAAATATATTTTTTGTCATGTTATACTCGAAACGAGTATTTTCAACATGTTTCTTTTTTGTATTTATCTTTTATATTTGTACATAAATTAAGTTTTAACGATTATAATAGAAAATATATTAATGTAGAGTTAATTAGTTGTACGTATTTAAAAGTATTATGTTTTGTTTTTATTTATCTATTGTAATTATAAGTTCAAAAGTTAATTCGTGTTATATTTTAATATTACCCAAATTTATATCGAATAATTATGTTAAATGTAAATATTATTGAAATGAAACGTAAAACATTCCAGTTAACTTTGTATTGTTGCTCTACTTATTAGTATAATGACGATTCTTGCCATTTTTTGTTTGTATCAAAATTGAAATCTTTGGATCTGTTTTAATATTTTAAAGTTTAGCAGTCAAAATAATAAAAATAAAAAAAATTGCCAAAATTAGTAACACTTAATAGTAACGTTGATCTCATGTTGCTGAAAAGCTGGTTGTTCAATTTAAGACGTGTTTTTATTATCAAAATTAATTTTAAAACAAATCTTAAAATATTTAGTTAGTAACTTGTATCAAATAAAATTAAGGCCAGATCCAGCACGCATGATACAATTTTATTGTGCAATTTTTCAGCTAGTACATTAATTAGCTCGTTAGTTGAAAAAAATATAATATACGTGTAATCTAATTAGAGTGCCATTCATTTTTATTATTATTATTATTATTATTATTATTATTAATATTATTATCATTATTATTATTATTATTTGCTATGTATTCTTTAAAATATTTTTTCCCAGAGACAAATAAGTTTTCCACTTATGAAATCTACACAGTTTATTATTATAAAAGTTTTTTTTTTTTGGTCAGTTTACTGCCATAAATAATTGGATAACATGATCAATTTTTTGTCTTAACTTTATAATTGTCAGTAATATATTTATGATATTGTAACATATATTATCTAAATTATGTTTTATGTTCAAATGTTTGTTGCCTTTTATAATGAATAAAATGGCAATTTCGCAATACTATATATAGTAATTATATACAGGTTTATATTATTTGCATTTATGTCGAACGACTTGCATTCGTTATATGAAACATTTTATGTTTAGACTTTAGAGCCAAATTTATATTGGTATTCGTACGATATTATTTTATATACATATATATATATATAATATAAATTTATATGACTCGTTCGAATTCATTGTTTATTTTAACATGACATTCCACTATCTCCATATCCATATACATTTCTCATCATAATAATGGTTAATATTAAAATATAACAATAATGATCATTGGTCTAAACTTATTGTTTATTCTTAAAAATATATATTTTACGTTTTATTTTTAACGTCATATCAGTCATACATCTGTCACAAGAGGATCTTGTTCACCCAATATTATTTATTAAACAGGACATTTTAGTAATTCTTTTCACTCGAAAAATGGCATTACTTTTTTTTTCGTAGTGAGTTGTAGATAACTCACTTACTATAAATTAAACCTTATCTCAAAAATGTCAAGTTTTATCTCGGGACTAAATATATTAAATCGGTTTAGTCAAGTGGTTTAAAATCTAGTTGGATGTTAATTCAATTGGACTTTATTTGAATAAAAATTTGTTCAGGTTGGTTTGTATTTTGTAGATAAAGGTTCTGAGTAAATTTGTTTACAAATAATTAGGAATTTGCAAATTTTAGGTGGCTCAGTTTATTTTGTTCTTTAATACACACATTGACCAATTGAACTTTGTCAGTCAGCTGAACATAACGACGGGTTACTACTTACTCGTATGTGTAGATTGAAATTTGGGTATGTCCATAAATTGAATGTCGGTTCGTTCAGGCGCTGACTAGATGCAATTCAACGGCTCGCGAGTATTTAAGTTTCAAGCCCGTTACTCGTTTATATAAAACACGGCGAACCTTTCTAAAACGTAGAAAAATATTTTTACAGGTATAAAATATAATAGTAAAATAGTATGAAAATTTGAAGTAGGATACATGATCATGTAACACAAAATAACTCGGAATATGAACTTAAGTTTTTAATAAATAAAATTAAAAAAAGGTATCTCGTTGCGTTTGTCATAAAGTAAGTACAACTGTATTTTACATTACTGTAGAGGCCGAGGATGACAACTCCGCAGTAGTATATAATTTATTTAACTATTCAATCAAGCAACTATATTGAATGACATTTATGGTAAATACGATTGCCGGTCGGACAGTTTGCTGTACAATTTAGATAGGTACTTGACGTCAAATAGCTTCGTAAATCACTCGCCAAAGAATCTTCCAGATTGGCAACTGGAAATGTTATAAGGTCGGATTCGACCTGTTCACCATTCGAGTATTATTTCAAGAAAAGCACGAGATTTAAATAATTTTTCTTTTGTTTTTACTGACTCAATGTTCAGCTTAGGATAAATTTATCAGTATTGAACAAATTAATGACATTTAAACTACATTCGATTTTTTCTTATTTTTTTTTTTATACTATTACTGTTTTCTCTTGAACGTAAATTGTCGAGAAAAGGAAAATATTAAAAGGTAAAAAAATAGGATTTAGTGTACAATATAATATATGGTGAATATTTTTAATTGGTATTCGTTATTACAATTCACAATTGTACCTACAGGGTGATTCCTTAAGGATAAGAACTCATTTTATCTTAAAATAATTGTTTTTATTTTTAAAGGCACTTTAGTATGTTGTTTTACAATATAAGACAATAATAAAGACATTCTAAGGGCATTTGGGGTACAAGCCCAGGGCCTCCGGCCTGACGGTAGCACAGAATAATACAAATTTACATCTTTACGATTTTTTTGGTTCTGAACCATGTTGTGAAGTCATTTCAAATAATGTTCTGTGCACAGTGCAAATGCTGAAGATGTTCAATACATACTTGTATTGAATGAAATACTGAGAGTTCATAAAGAGGCAATAAATTGCCTACGTATAGTAGCGTTTGCTTCGCCTATACAGGAAAAAAAACCCATGTGTTTTCCAGAGTTAAGTGTAGTGTTTTCCGGTTAATGGTATACTATTTCCGTTTTGAAAAAAAAACACACCGGTAGTTATACCGGGCACGTGCCGGACAAGTGCATCACGTGTATCAATTATTGTGCGGCGATTACAATGATTATGGACGTGCAATGAATGCAGAATGCCACGACATTATTATGAAAAGCGGATATGAGTAATATGCTACCGTGCGCCCCGAGATATTGTATTTGCATAAGGACTGCCAGGACCGGACGTCGGACGCGAGCGCCGTCGAACGAATTTCAAAAAACAAATCTATTGCCGATTTTTCGATTCACAATGTTATGTATTCTTAACACATTATATTAAATTGTGCCGCCGAGTGTGTTATAACGGAAAATCGCCGGCCGACGTTGACGGCGATCGACGAACGCACACGGTAATGGAAAAACGCGTTAATCGTCTCTTCTTCCGTAATGTTATTTTCAAAAATTGCGTAAATAATTACAGTCCGTGAGGCAATTGAATTTACTTTTGTTATTATCCAACATTGGGCAAAGTGAAAATCGATATTGGCATTACGACGCGGTCTGCTGGTCAGGATACGCGAGCATTACGAGGGAAATACACTGCGGTATAGCAGCAGTAGTACAGGCACGGTATAGACGAACCCCTCCAACCCTAGACAAGACCGCCTATAATGAAATAATATAGTATTTTTACCGTAGCGCCAAAAATAAAAAAAAACTACTCAAAACGCAAACTCGAACTAGGCCCGTTTACCCTACTTCTTCCCTCGCATACCTTGAAGGTCCGGTGGACCAGTGATCCATGACGTATGTAGATACTAAATGTTTTAATATGAGCTACACAGTTTGGCCTTTGACCACTCTTTATAACGTCCATCCTCCACTAATTTTTCGGTCTACCTCTACACCCCTTCATCTTATCCTTTAAACTTGCCTAAACCTTCTCAATTTGTGTTTATTCTCATTTCCGTCGATGGTTCAATTACTAAAGTACTCCTTATGAATATCTCTAATAATTATTATGCTGGGCCTTCAGACTCTAAACAGGATGCTGGATGTTCGACATTCTCGTTTGAATTAGGTACTTCCATTGTATTTTCATCTCTTTTAATATATTTTTTCCAACACACAATACGTCTTCTGTGAGATATCACTAAAGTTTTATGGAAATTTGCTTTTCTTCTAAATGTCACTTTTATCCCACAATACCCGTATTGACTCTTTCCATCCCATCCAACCATAATTTATCTTGCACGGCTGATCTTAAACACTTACTTTTTTTTTATTATTTACCCTTTGTTCTCGAAGTATAATAGATTCTCTGCCTGCGTCTAAATCGAAGTATGTTCTTTAAGACTGACTTATTCTTAATATATTTTGTTTTAATTTCTCCCTTTATTGATACGTGAAAGATTATAAATTTAACACTTATATACTCTGTTCCCCTAAAGCTAAATTGTCCGTAAAAATTTACTACTTCGATGCCTCCCCCTGGACGTCGTCTCATGTTATCCTCTCTATCAATTAGCTCGAACAAAATATACCGTTCTCAGAAAAGATCCAAATCGCACGTCCTTGTGCATCTCCTTTGTTGTTAGAAAATTGAAACTACTAATAACATCTTCGGGTTTGGCGAGACTAAGTCACCGTAGAGCACCTCTGCCTCTTCTCCACCTACCTAGGCAAATGTTACATCCGACCTTTCGGCTTTAAACCGAACGCGCACGGCCTATTGTTTCTCATGCGGGATCACGTTATTTGTTTTCCGTCAAATGCATTTGATCCTCATATTATTATTATGCTATTTTAACGCAAATGTTTGGCACGTTCCTATAAAAAAATATTTTATTTTGCTTTTTAGAAACATTTTCTTTTTAAATAAGGCATGTTTTTTGAAAACGAATAACAATAATAAAACATGATTGTTATCAATGCTTTGCTGCCGATCGTGTTGTCGGACATTCTCCTCCGACAGTAAACATACACACAATCCGGGCGGATCCGACAATAATAATGTTTTAGACAAATCAATGGTAAATGGTTATGTTGATGTGTTTTAGATACTTCCTAAGTCTTCTATACGATGTATGCAGACGGCAGTCGTCGCGGTTCGTGATTCAGACGCACGGTGGATTTCTTCGGAGCTAGACGTCCGTCATCTTACTTAATCGTGCGTGGCCCGTCCGTGTGCAAATATCGTGAAGAGATTTATTATTATTTTTACTATAACACAATAATTATATTATTACCAGTCATATAGTCGCCGCAGTTGCTTCCTCTACCGCGCCATCGTCGGCAAACCGGATCTGTGAGCTGTGTGTTTTACGCATTTTCAGTCTATAGTTACCGGATTACTTAGTTTCATAATGCGACTAAACGATTTTCAATTAGCGTAATTGTGTACACCTACCATCACGAGCGACGGGTAAGTCCATTCTGTTTTGTTGTCTATGTGACATGCGAATTTCCCTCGCACGTTTTTATAATTGTATACCTACGATTGGCAAATATAATTAAAATCAAATTAAATAAATCTACGTAAAAGAAAAAAAAATACCCTGACCCGATACCGTCTTTGACGACAGGGTTGTGAAATTTGAACATTTCTTTGAGCTCATGAAACGCCAGCTGTAAATGCGGTTTTAATGAACATTTATACTTAAACATTAATGAATCGACAGAAGTTTAAAAGCACTAAATGACGTTATAAATAAGATGTCTTAATTGTGTTTTTGTGTTTTAGAACACGGTTGTACAACGCGTGATCAATATTATTGTTTCGGTTGACCGATCGGGTCATGTGTGTTATCAATATGTGTGTATGAAGTAACGTGCGGTATGCATTTCTAAAAAAACACAATAATAATTGGTTATTACATATTAGTTATTATAATTTTTATACACAATGATTCATAAGTTCTAGTTAGTTCTAGCATCTTTTAACTTTCTTGGATAATATATGACCACGGGAAGTATTCAAACGTTGGAATTCGAATAATTCCCATCACTGGTACAATACATGCAACAGTATAATATTTATGAACAATGCCTACACACATTTGTTGAAACTTTTCAGAGTTTAAGCTTATTAATGGTATTATAAGTAGTCGGAAATAAAGGGAAGTAATACTTTTTACATCGTATAGTAGATAAATCGAGGTGATGAGCAGCCCTCTCGTATACTTGTTTCACAAAAATAAAAAAGTTATTGGTACGAATAATTCAGAATAAATAAGGAATTGTATACATTGAACAATGATCGAGTGTCAGTTCTTAAAAAGTCTATCACATCCGGGGTAGTCTCAGACCGTCTTGGAAACTTACTTGGTAGGTACTTCTATTTTAATTGTGCTGTCAATAATGGGAATTGGTAGCCATTGACTCACTCTTATTTTTTTCAGCGGCACATGGCATATCAACAGTTTTTAATTAGTTGATTAAGAAGTTAAAAGCTTATCTCCTTTTTGTAACTTTTGACAAAGACTATGCTAGTTTTTTTACTTAACTCTATATTTTTTACACTTTAAGTCCTATAAGTGTCATTTGTCTGCATAATATAAAAAAATTTGAATCCAAATTTTTAGAAGTAAAACTATTGTTTACCAAAAAATGACATTAGCCCTTTTATCACCACTTAGAAACGTGTTCTGTACCTTTAAATGCAAACAATTTGACTATAAAAAAAAAGTAGGCATTTAACATTTTTATTTTAAAATGTAATGGTGTGTCAACAAGGTAGTGAATAAACTAATAGTTCTTTCTAAAAATAAAACCCAACAAAAAAATAATCAAAATTCATTTTTTCTTCATGCGTTTACAATTAGTTCCATCTAACCCTAATGCAACGTTATGTAATTAGTTAACAACGTTGCGTTTGTCTTATTTTTTATTTATATGTTATTATTTAATATTTATTTAGGTAGTTATTGTTTTACAAAATACGAATATTGTCATGGTTTTTTTCCTCAGTGAAATCGAGCGATGCGATGAATTATATTTTTTATCTAACACAATATGTACGGCGTCATAATATTATACCTGTGTTTATACCTATATATACACTGATACGTTATGTACAAAATTGAACGTTTCCAAAAATTATACATGCGAAGACGCGATTAGGTTACGGTCAATGATCAGACGGATGTAGAACGTATTATTACTCCTTTTTTTCTCTCTTCTCGTTTACCTAATGTTTACATAAAAAAAAAAAACATGTAAATGTATATAATGTATGGTAAAAAAAAATGTTCTGGTATTTATTTAATTTCATTACATTCAAATATATGTAATAAAATAGGTGCGTGTCTGTGCGTTTGTGTGTGCGTGTACACATTACGACATCAATTGAGAAGAAGTATTTTTTTTTTCCACCAACAATTTCCGCCTGATACACGTGTCGATACATCGATTCGTAAGTAAGAAAATATCTGCCTGTCATCTATTCGGTTTCCATTTCACACACATTATTACACATAAGTACGACGATTTGTATCATTGCGGCGAGTATTAAAACCGTTTGCCAACGAAACAATAATAATAATCGTTGTTAGTAGGAAAAAATCCAAGTAGCTCGTTACTCCTTACTTTTTTTTTTCTTTAACGCAAAATAAAAATATTTTCGCCGCGCAAGTGCACAATATAATCGTGACGTTATTGTGTTCGACAATTTTTGGGATATAAACTGAAAATAATGATACAAATAATAATAATAATATATTATGTTGAGTTTGACACAACGTGAACAGCAGCGTATTGTATTTATATTTTTTCGCAATGCAATATAACAGCACATTAGCATTACACATGTTTATAAATGTCCATACAACGCGGTGTTTAAAAAAATAAAACATTCAACTACAGTAGAATTTATGACAAAAAAAAAAAATGCCTCAAGTTGATTGTAAAGTAAATTTGTAAACTCTGATTGGTAACCGTGCGAAACCCTCGGTGAATGTGTATGTACGTACCGCTTTTATATTTCATTCCAAAACTCAATCAAAATTAATAAGAATACTCTAAATATTCGGTATTTAATTGTTTTATTGTACATATTATAAATAAACGGCAATTTTGATATAGGTAGCTGCTATTACGATAAATTGTTTTTTTTAATTAAACGATATTTTCAAAAAAGAATAGGCGTTAAAATAAATGTTAGTAAATTCTAGAAATTCGTTATGATTTGGACTTTAGAGCACAGGTGCTATATGATAAACTAATAAAGAGTAGGTCAATTCTTTATCGGCTACTTAAAAAAATATAGTTTATATGAAATAGTAGCTATTTTATAATATTTCACATTTCAAACAGACAAAACAATTTGTTGTTAATTACATACATTAATTATAGATGGCATTATATCTTAGTTGAACAATTAAGGGCAGCCTTAGGAGAACTGAGATAATATTTAAATGGTAACCGGAAAAAAAATCGAAGAAAATTGTATTAATTTTACTAACTAATTGATAATATCAACTATCGATAATAAAACTGATTTTTTGTTAGTGTTTTTACTTTGTAATTTCGTTATTTTAAATAATAAAAATTGAGTTTACATCTTCAAATAAATGAGAGGAAAAACCCTAAGCTAACCTAACCTTTTCCCTTATTGAATGTCATAAATGTGTGCTAATGCTTCGAGTGGCATAAACGTTATCACTTACCACATAACACATTGAAATTTAATTGATTCATTAATAATGAATTTTAAAAAATCTAAAGTTATTCCAGTTAGCATAATACATTGTATTCTTCAGACAGACTATTTTTTTTTTAGATTTAGCTACATAATTATGTGTCTATATTTGTAAAACATATGTTGAGACTAATGATGCTTAGAATAGCTTGTATGAATAATAACAATTATAAAAGGTTTAAAAATTCACTGGAAGTGTGTGAATAAAAAATAAAGCGCATTCAATTGTTATTTATTGGTATCAAAAAGTGGACTTATACAAGTGTGCACTAAGCCATCGATGGAATATAGATCAATTACTGTACACAAGTAAACTATGTATTATTCATAATTTATTTATTATGTTTATATTTGTAACACTTAACTTGGCTATATAATGTACTATGTGACATAGTAATTTGCGTGTAGGTAAACATAAAATAAACAATTTTTAGTACACGCACTTATATAATAATTATTAATCCTAACCAATATAATGCATAGATTATAGTAGGTACTTAATGATTAGATAATGATTTACTGTGGTTCAATTTTTTAATTTTCACGGTCGTGTGGTTATCTGAATTCTGATTGCCAAATGCATAGAAATAATTGCTAATATTTTCAATTCGACCAATTATGCAAATCGTTATCTAATCGCTAGCTTCCATGTTATCTAACCTTGGTTAGGAGGTATCTAATAAATATTTACCCAAGACGTTCAATATAATGTGATATTGTCGCATTTTCTAGATTTTAACAATAAAAAAATCAATCTTATATATTATACTTGTCTTGTTTTTGAGGGAAAAAATGTTTTTTTTTTTCGAAATGCCTACCACGCCTACAGCTTGTTAATTGGGTCTTGACACCAGATACGCACCGGTATCAAGGCCTAATGGAAACAATCGTCTCGGACACGGATGGTTTGTGTTTGACGTGTATTGCAGTTAATGTTGGACACAGACCAGTTATCACTATAAACGCAATCTAAATCATGTTTTGCTTATAGCTCAAACATTTGTATACAGTTGACCATTTTAAGTATGTTTTAAAAACATGTGTAGAACAAGAAGAGCTTAATATTATTAATAAAATGTGATAACTGATGGTAATTTTCATTAACAAACTGTTTTGCCTTTTTATAATGTTAATTATTACAAACTCTTTTTACGCTTAAAGCATATTTTCAATTATTTATCGGTAAAATATTATATTGTTATCATTAAATATGATTTATGTACCTAATAGTCTGTCGATAAAATAAATAATAGTTATAGTATGTAATATACACGTCATGGTTTATTTTTTCGGACCCGAGTAGGTACATATTACATTATAGAAGATTTCTAAAAAAAAAAAATATGCAAAGAAAAAACCACGGTGTAAGTTTCTTCAACTGATTTAGTTGTAAATTGAGTTGAATTGACATTGTCACTGAATGTTTTGAATGCTAATGATTTGAACTTAACTTTTCATCTGGGTCTTTATGGTCGGATCGCTAGTATAAAAAATGTATTATTAAAATAATATATATTGACTTCCGCACAACAGCTCGCTGCCGTAAGACTTGGGCCTATTTAATGTGCATATTTCTCTTTCTCCTTCTCTCTCTGTATGCACCCGACAAACGCCTTATCAATATAATTCACCACAGTCAAGTTTACATAACGACACTGTGCAGTGTGCAGTGCGCATTACGTGAATTCTTGCTTGCACACATAAGTATAATATGGAAGTGCGATCATTATTAATTGTGTTACATTTAAACTAAACGAGTACTTCATTATTAAATATTCTAAATTATTCGCGACGTAAATTTTAAATTCTACACGTTGACAATAATTGTCGCTGCTTGTGCCAACTTAACCCAGTCGTTGGTATTATGATTAAAGTAGGTACAATATTATGTTGTTGCGTACAGTTTAATCATAATATTATCAGCTAAACGTTGACCGTGTACCTACCTCGACGCGCGTTACATAATTAAAGTACCTATAATAATTTCTCTCAGCTCTGTTCTCTTTAAAAAAAAAATATAGAACGCATTCCGCAAAAATAATGATATATCGTTCAGAAAGTTTGAAATCGTTAGTATGGATTTCCGATAGGTAAACAACGATAAACGGCATCTCCTTATCGAGCAAACGGGTTTTCAAATAATTTACTGCAATCTTTGTGCCGAACCGACGACCGATTGTGAATGCCAGCCGACCGGGATAAACCCAGGTCAGTTTTCATTTTATTTGTATTGACAATATTATATTGTGGCCAAAAATAATATTTTCACCTGCCGTGAAATAACACAGCGGTGACGCACAAATACTTTGGCGTACTCCAAAAATTATCTTTAAGTACCCATCGCCCACACAAACACTACACACAGAAAAAAAATCGTGACGGAAACTCGATTAAAACTCGGTAACTGATTGAAAACAAATTGGGGCAATATTAACTGGTTTAAACTGTGTAGGACATAAATAGTTTGGTATTTTGAAAATGTTAAATTTATGCTCTACGGTGATTTGATATTTTGCTAGAACGGGTCTTGTAATATTATAAATATTATGTCATTAGAATTGTTGTGTTGATATTGGGAGTATTTTGCCACAGAGTGTAAAAAGTATAACGTTGCCACAATGTCAATGTTCCGAACAGGTTATCATATTTATTAAAATACGACGGTAATTTCTATGGCCATAGAGTTAAATGTCAACGGTTTTCATCGGTGTTTGTGTATTATGTTTTTCGCGAATGAAAATATTTTTTATTTTCGATATTAACTAGATAGGTTTGCTGCGGTTATTCGTGTTAATCGTGTACGTTTGTTTGTTTTTCAGCCTGCACAGGATCGTGTGTCTCAAACATAACAATAATGTCTCAACGATCATCGGCCAGAGGTACGAGTTCGCTTGACGGCCGGTCGTTGTAAATCCAAAAATCTCGCGTTCACCTCCTTACCCAGCTACAGTTGCTGTATATTATTTATTGTAACGATGGCCGCAGTGCAGATGGTGTGTCCGGGGCTACTGCTGCACACGGGTCGTGACATTGTTGTTACCTAAAAATAATGACCTGCGCGATTATCTTGTTGCGGTGGTGAGCTCGTTGCCGGCGACCTTATGCGGGCGACCCGGGTTGGCGGTAGACTTACAGCGGCTGAGGAGGTCACTGGTTGCGGCCGGCAACGCGGCAGCGGAGGACGTGTCGACAGCGTGACCGCGGCAGTCTGCAAGATGCGCTCGGTGTCGGTGGCCGTACTCGTGGTGACGGTCGGGTGGATGCACGTGGCCGACGGGGCCAGGCAGCTGCAGGGCCAGTACAACACCCCGTACCCGGACATATGCCCCAGGTAAGCCGAAACACCGCAAACCGATAATATGTCACAGGTAAAAAACGGTGATGGTAAAAAAAAATCGGATGATATTTTTTTATATAATAACATCATTTGAGTATAATATAGGTATTGACATAATATTGTATACACACTCGCAGTGATAATATGATATTGTTTTTTTTTTGTTTCCTTAAGTATGATGGCAGGGTGAAGAGGGGAGTGGGGTTTGAATGCGACTTAATGGACCAAGTGCAACAGCTCAGAGTTTTAGTCCAAGTAACGATTCAAAAAATATTTTTTATTTTATTTAAACGTTTTTCACCGCCCGACGTTGAAATGTTGTAACGTTAAATTATTATTTTTTTTTTAATAATGGGTATATTTTATGTTTACGTAAAATTTTTTAGTTGCACTTGCCCCATTTAATTGCATTTACTTCACTTCATCCTACAGTATAATATTCTATATTGTCACGTTATTTTTTGCTAACCACATTGTAATACTAAACGACAAAAAAATTTTTTTAAAAAAATTCTCTCGAAAATTAAATAAATGATTACTTTTTTACTTTAATTTTAACAATTTACATTTGAACAATTTTTAAATGACAGTGACGTTAAAATATTACATATTAGTAAAACATTAAGCTGTAGCCCAATCAAATTTTCGGAAAATGGTTATATTTTATAATTTATATAAATATATTATTAAAACAAAATTATGGTAATACTGGTAGAGATTGTTGCGTAATAAGCAGAGTTTTTATTTTAAGAAAATTGCACGAACTTTACATTTCAAGCTAACAGCGATTTGTTACTTTGCATTATTTTATGGCTACAATTAATTCAATTTCCTCTATCTAATGTTGCGATAAATGTTCTGCAAATGGATTTTGAAACCTCATTAGTCATTAGTCGTTACGTTTACTTTAGGTACACTCTAGACATTTCTTACCTATTGTTTTGGATAAGCGTATTCCATTGTTCAGTTTTTGTAAATATTCACAATAAGTAGATTAAATTTCAATCAAAATATAACAATAATAAAATCAAATTTGTTTTTGGAATTCGTATTTTCTCACCAACTGCAATGGAAACCGTTTATGATACATAGGAAGGATCGTTTTCAACCCCGTAACCTCACCTTCAAACCCTTATCGTGTTATTATTTTTTTTAACCGCCTCAGATTACTTATAACTAAAATATTTTAACGATTAACCGATTCATATATTTTATTATGACGTAGTACAATTGATAATACGTTGGAACTTGTTTCAAGAGGTTCAATGGGATTAGCATCCTAATCAAAGGTTGAAGCTCCGCACTAGCAGACGCTTATTTTAGCGAAAAGCATTAGGAATTAAAACAATTATTAAATAATGGAAACCTCATTTACTTTGTAGTTCGATTAAAGTTAAAATATTGTGTTATGTACCAAATTACAAAATTTAATATTAATCAAATGGTAGGTACGTTGCTTATATTTTGTGTGATTTCAGTACTCCGTCCTATAAATAGACAAATACCTACGTGTTCAGTCTTATCTTTTCAGTTGTCCGACCAAGTAAATGAATGGTGGATATAAATGTATTGATACAACTTATATAATAATATAACTGTTGAATAATCGTAATCTGAACTAAAAAAAAATAATTTTTCTGATTAGATTAAATATTTAACATTTTTCTAAAAAAAAAAAAAAAATATATTATTCAACAAAAACATCATAGACAAAGCTAAACTATTTTAATAATTAACTTAATTCAAACATTTGTTCTAACATAACCAAATTAATTATTCTTTAAGGCCCAAACGCCTTTAATAGGAGGAACAAATGGTATAGGGCTTAGGAAAACTCAGATCTCCTCAAATATGTATTGTTTAAAATAATTAAAATTTATTGTATAATAGTATACAACTAGGTTAGTGTACCTTAAGTACCTACCTCGACTCATTGGTATTTAATTTAGGTAGTTAATTCTGAATTAAGGGTTCTAGGCGTAATAGAAAACAATTTAAGAATTTGGAAATCCACTGAATGCGTTTACGAATTAAATTTACACATTAGTAGTCCTTAATTATTATATAAATTAGTTGTTATTGATTTTCATTGGGAGTATCAAGTAAGTGTATTGTGATAATTGAACTAGTGACAAAAAACATCCACTCACGTTATGTTAAAATATAATCTATAGTTATACAATTTTGCATACATCAAACTGTCTTACTTAAATTTTTAAGAAATTATTTTCATTGAATAAATAATATAATTGTTACTAAACTAGCTCGAATAAATTATTAATTTATGCTATTTGAACATTTCGGCTTAAAGACTGTGACTGTTGACAAATTTCTTCGATTATAAGACAATTGTTTATTTTGAAATAGTTTATTTCACGATTTTGTACTACCTATTTGTTTAACAGATTGAGTAGTACAAAAAATATATATATATATATCTCAGTCTGTGACTGATATCTGTTTGATAATGAAATCAGTGGCAATTGCAACGAATTACACGTACTCATTACACTAGAATACGGTGGATGATATATACGTAATGTTTAATGGGACTTCAACATACTCCGAAGGTCAGGTTACCGCGTTTGACCGATTTACAGAATAATTATCCGTTTCTTAACCTGAAATTCGATTTTGAATTACTGAAAAAAACACAACACGTGGTTCTTTTAAAATTTAAACAACTTTAAAATATAATATTTACTATATAAAAATTGTCTGTCTAAATTGTAAATTGTTAAATCCAAAACTGTATCCTTATTACGTATTATTAAACAGTTCACTTGTAATTGTGTTTTAGTGAAATATATTGTAAAGGGGAGCTGCTCGATGACATACAAATGCAGCAGATGTATCCGGATTCGAAGACATTTGTCGATAAAAAACTGCTGCGAAGCGAAGCAGTGATCTTAGACACTTATCGAAAGCTGAAGCAAAGGAATGGCGGCCGAGTGCCACCACGGCCTGTGCTCGCCAAGTTTGTCGAGGACAATTTTGGCGACGATCCTTTGGTCGAATGGGTGCCGCCCGATTTTGTTGACAGCCCATCAATCATTAATTACGTTCAGGATCAAAATTACAAGTAATACAATAATTGATTATCATTTTTTAAATGTTACGATTTCCCCCCCTCCCCATCCTGGCCCCTTAAAACACACTCTGTGCGTGTATTTATTTTTTATTTTATTTTTATAAAGGCTCTGGATACTGCAGTTAAATCAAATATGGAAGAGGTTGGCTCGGAGGGTAGACGAGGATGTAAAAAACAATCCCGACAGACATTCTTCCATTTATTTACCAAACGGGTTTTTCATAGCCGGCGGAAGGTTTACAGAAATGTATTACTGGGATTCTTATTGGATCATAAGAGGTGCACACAATATTACTCCTGAACATACTCTATCGATAATATAAATATTTTTTAATTTAATTACATACATGCATGAGTTATTAATTATATCGTGCAATGTTTTTGCTATTATAAAATTACAATTTATTTTCAGTCAATATTAGTATCATTTCAGTAAATATAGTGTCATTTTCATTGGATTGAGGACTATTTGAGAACATGGCGTTTCTTTTTACAGGTGTTATCCTATGTGATATGAAGGAATCGGCTAGGGGAATCATACAAAATTTTCTCTATCTAGTGCACAAGTACGGCTACGTACCGAACGGCAGTAGAATTTACTATTTAATGAGATCTCAGCCACCACTTTTAATTCAAATGGCAGCGTCTTACTATACGTACACGGAGGACTTAGACTTTATCGAGAAAAACATCCAGGTAAAATAATATTATAAATTAATTCAACCGTATTAAATTGTATTTATTAGTTGTTACTAGTACAAAAGTAGCACAACTACTTTCGTTGAATTATGTAGTTATACAGACAGCTAATTAAACTAATGATAATACGGTTGTTAATTACATATGTGCGCTTATAATGTGCATTACAAGCATAAACATACTGTAAAATTAATCGAGTGTAATGTTTAATTTATCTATGATGTTTTTCGAATGGCTCGACTATGACCATACAATCAAGCCACAATAATACATTATCGAATATATTTAAATGTTTGTAAAAGTAGTGTAAATAGGGTCCCGGGGTTAAGTTTTAGATATATAGTTTTTAACATTTGTTAACCGTTAATTAGATTGTAGTTCGTTAAATATAAAAATATGTGCCTGACATGGGTCCATTATATACAAAGTAATGGCTACTTTAATTTCCATTTTTTGTTTAGTATTTGGAATCGGAGTTTAACTTTTGGTTGACCAACCGTACGGTGAAAGTCGAACGAAATGGTAATGTCTACTTAATGGGACAGTACAACACACACACAAAGGAGCCTCGTCCAGAATCATACTTGTAAGCTTAATTTATTTGTTATAGGTAGCTACTTAGTGGTGTTGTGGTAAAAAAGAAAAAAACTAATGTTTAAATATCCACCCTTTGTTAGTCGGTATGTTAGGTTAAAGGATAAGTATCATTAAGGCTGAGGCATTGCCAAAAAGTCAATCACCGAACCACTGTAACTATACTTATTGAATGAAAACATTAAATAACGAACATTATTGTTTTTACAGCCAAGATAAGACATTGGCCATGCATCTTCCCAACGAAGAAGATAAAAACGAACTTTATTCGAGACTGAAAGCCGCTGCTGAATCTGGATGGGATTTTTCTACGAAACATTACAACAATTTCGGACAAAACACTGGTATTGTTTTACATACAATACATTATAATATTGTTATTAAACTTTATCATTAATTATAATTTATAACTGATAAAACTGTTGCCATAAAATAAAATAATAAATGTGAACATAATAAGTAGGTAGTTGACACTACATTTGAAGTAGTGAGAACCAAAAAGATACAAATTACATATTGTCATTTTTGAATAAAACAGGAAATTAACTTTCAAGTCGATTTAAAAAAATCAAACAATACACAATGAAATAATCTAATTCAATTACTTTCTTAAAAAGATCATAAAAAAAAAAAAAAATGATTTGAATATTTTTTAGATGCAAAATATTAATTGAATTGACAAAAATGCACGTTAAAACAAAAGTATACAAATGAACTACCAAAAACAAAAAAAATATACGTGCACTTGTATCTATTTGGTTTATTAGGAATAGCACTTATATCTTGAAGTTCATTTCTTAGCAAATCAAGATCTATGTTACTATTTATGTCTTAATACAATCACAGTCACTTGTGTCCTTTTAGTTCTCAACACTACTACTATCTTCTGGAGCAAATGATAGAATATTGAATCTTATTTGAAAATTATAATATTCGATTTGACATCATCCATTGACGATTATAATATTGTGTGTATTATATTTATTTTCAGGTGATTTAGCCAATACGGATCCACAGAACTTTATATATGTGGAGTTAAACGCTATTCTCCAAGCTAATGCTGTCGTTCTAGCTCACATGTTTAAACTACTGGGAAACATAGAAAAATACAAATATTACAACGATATAGGAAACCGTTTTCAAATTGGAATAAACGCCGTGAGTCTCTGTTGCTGATGTGCAATCGCTTTGATATTTGGTATGAAACGATAATTTAAAAAAACAGATAGTAACAAATATGAGTTTTACAGTTGTTATGGAACGAAGAGGAAGGGATTTGGTTAGATTACGACCTTACTACAAAATCCAGTCGAAAATATTTTTATACATCAAACTTTGCACCCTTGTGGACTGGAAGTTACGAACGAAAACTCCGGGCTTACTATGGAAAACGTGCATTGGACTATTTACTAGTTAACGGCGTCATCAATCAAGATGGTACCCCTCGACTCATTTGTAAGTATCTTAATATATTTTTTTGGAGCAGGGGGGCAGGGAAATTTTACTATTATTTTATCAAACTTCAATTGACTTTGGTTTAATATAATATAAATAATACTACGATACAGTTATAACTTATAAGTGATTTTACAATTACAATAAAAATAACGAACAACTCTTAATGAAAAATTAAATATTAAATTTAAATAAGTTTTATCAATATTCACGTTGGTATTTAATAAAAAATCTTATACTTTTAGCAATTTTTTTTAAAATTTTAATCAAGCTTTTGTTTTATTAACGTTTAGATGTTAGGTGAAATACAATTATGTATTTAATTTGCCTATATAAGTCTCCTTGTTTATAGAACGTTTATCCCAACTCACACAATGTGTTATAACAATGTCAGTAAAATATTTACACTTTACTCGAGGACATAGTGTAAAGATAGGTTATCTTATATGTATATCGACAATACACCTAGGTAGTTTTTGTTTATATTTTCGTTTTAAAATTAATTTGTATGTTGTATAGTTTGTAATTTGCATTGAACTAAAACCATTAACTTCTATTGAAATCCGCTATAAGCTTATTATGATTAAAATTTGATGCTTTTAACACATGACTAGTAATTAGAAATGTCGTAGTAATTTTCCTTAGTAATTTTTTTTACAAATGTATAATTTAGGTGTTCCGACGTCGAATGTTAATTCATCGCAACAATGGGATTACCCCAACTGTTGGCCACCCCTTCAAGCCATGGTCATACAGGGCTTAGACCGTACCAAGTATAAGCCCGCACAAACCGTAGCGTTAAATTTGGCAAAATCGTGGATAAACACCAATTACGTTGGTTATGCCAACAGTGGAACAATGTTTGAAAAAGTAATAACGTTTTTTTTAATACTAATTAAAATATATTTATTCGCAAGGAAGGGTGGCGATAGAAGTTAAAATACGGCTAGATAACATGTAAAAATATATAGAAAAAGAAAATTTGCAAATTTGTAATATAATTAATTATCTATATTATGATATTCGTAAAAAATAAATGGAACCAAACAAAATAAATCATTTGTCATGGTATTGTCCTATCGATACATTATAATATGTTGACATATTCTATAGCATATATTTATTAACTGCTGTGATCAACTGTCAGACTTAACACAGGCATTTAATTTTTTGTAGACCTGTCAATTAATCGTGATACACCTGTATACACTCGTATAAAGGTCACAGGTTCAAATACAATATACGCAATCAACCGCACATACTAATGATTGTCATTAATTGTCTGTAGTATGTACGTGTTTTAGTTTAAAATTCCCTCCTCCCTCTTCCTAATTTAACCAGAATGTGTGCCGAAGCGGGGGCCGATAAACATATTTTTTTTTATTCTGTTCTAACTATGTCAAATTTGTTTTTCTTGCACTTATATAGTATAGCGCACTTGAAGTGGGTACTACCGGCGGAGGAGGAGAGTACACACCCCAGACGGGATTTGGATGGACGAACGGAATCGTTTTTGAGTTATTCCGCAGATGGGGATACTTATTCAGTTCTAACTGAACTTCGATCCAACTAACTACAATCCAGCTGAACGGTTGTACAGGCCATACAATGTTTTTTGTGTGGATTTTGTATTTTTCAAATCGGTCCGTTTGTCGTTTCAAACTAAACGATTGCGACGACGACGACGATGATGTACAGGGCCAAGTTCGAACATATTTATTGTTTCATTTTAAATATGCTCATAACGTTGTAAAAATATAAATATAAAAATATGTTATAAACAGTTAAAATATAGTTGTTAAATAAAATTCATCGGTCGATGCGCAAGCATACACACCATAAATGGTAATTTGTTTCCATGCATACAACATATACCTATTACCAATGTATTCATATTATTTATATATATATATATCGATGTATACACATTGAGCTTTCCGACGGAATTCTTTATGGTGTTTAAAAAACTACTACACCGCATAAAAACTACTACACCAACTTAACTGTTTTCCGTGCAAGCGGTTCACGTGCGGCTGGACATAATATTATTTCGGATTAGGTACATTGTTTTATTTTTAAGACTCAATTATGTTTCAAGGTAAAATATAATTGCCAGAAAACGAAGAAAATTGTGTTATTTTAATTAGGAGAGCTACATGGTTTTTTGTATGTATGTACAATAACAAAACCGTAGTTGACACTTGACGGTACCCGATATTGCGATAAATTTATTGATCAGATTCATGTTTTTCTATTTAATGGAGTTTTTTTAATAAATGTGCCATGTTTATATTATTCCATTTGTTTAAAAGTACACCTTTCGCAAACTGGTGTATTTTACGGTGTGGAAATCACGACATAATATTTGATTTGAGACTATATGTTGTTTGAAGTTTATGTTATGTTATACCTACCTAACAGTTTAATTGACGTTTGTCGATAGAATTAAAAAAAAAAACAACATAACATTTAACTATTCATACCTAATCATAAAACAATGCATATTTCAGTACAAGTTTGAATTTTGTTTTTCGATAGTAAACAACACAAGTGTCAGGAAACAATTTTTTCTAAAAAAAATAATAGACCACACCGGTGGTATAGACATGTTTTTAGGCGAATAATTGATTTCTAACAAAAAATAATGTTGTTGTTTTAGCTGAAAATTAATTACTGTTAGGCATGTGCTTGGTAGGTACTGCTCCAAGCTCATTGTTTTCATTACTCATACTGTACAAACTACAATGATTTGAGTAATTAGATTTATGCTAAATGGTACACATTGAAGCTTATCGAAACAACAAATAGTAGCTAGGTTACTAAACTTTCATTTGGTTTTTGCACCTATCGGCTATTACAATGAGTGCATACAGACACGAATAAGAGACTTTTCAAAACTATATCCAAATCTACTACTATACGTATATTTATGGCAGTGCCGCGATAAAACTGAACATTTATTTTATGACATAGCTGAAGTCTTAAGAATGTTATCTCCGTGTTTATTGTAATAACGATTGAGTTTCTTAAATTTAAGATCATATTCACGCAATACGTATTAGGGGATTATGCTATATTTGAAATGTTTGAGTGTTATATGATGTACGCAATCTCCCATAATTTTATCATCTATAATACACTACATTAAAAATTATATAATTTTAATCACTAAACTTTATATTTCAAAAAATATTCTTAGTTTAATTTAAAAATGTAGAAAAAGTAACTCAATATTATATTAATGTCAAGTTTGCCAATTTGCAAAAAGTTGTTAGATATTAAAATTATTTATCATTAGTATATTATCATCGTTTAACAGTTAAAACAAATTGTTCTACGTTTAAAACACTAAATTTCTGGATACTTATCGTGTATTTATTTATAATTATCGGCGGGCAATTATACCCTCACTACAAAAAACAAATAATATACATTATGTGACAATAATAACAACATATAATTAAGTTTAACCCAGTTTTCAATTGCTTAAAATAGAGCTATACAATACTCCAAATTATATCGTATTATGAAAATAAGGAAAAACATTATATTATGATAACTTAATCACATTATAACAATACAATAATACATTGACAGGTGTTCGTAAAATATTTTTTTTTACATTATTAATAAAAAACATTTTATTATATTATTATACGATAATCACATAATCAATACATGAGATATTAAAAAATAAATATGGGCAGTGCTTCCGGCGACTCGAGGCTGATGACTAAACAATTAAATTAGTAAAAAAATAGAAATAATGATTGATAATTGCAAAAGTTAAATTAATATAAAAGACAATACATTTCTATGCTTTTTCGTCAGTCGACTTCAATGCACCACTAGTCATCAGTCAAAAGTATTCGGTTGTCGCTGTCCGTCTTCCCAGATTTAAGTTCAAGATCTCGTTTATTCAACACCTTTTATTTATTCCTTCCCACACACACTTGTCTTGCGATTCGTTAGCACCTTTGTCACTAAAACTTATATAATAGTGTGCATGCTTATACCGGGTGAACAACTCGAAACATTTGTAAAGTAAACAAACTGATTTAACATTTTATTTCGTTTAATTAATCTGCAATTATAGATAAATAATGAAATAGTATTATAATTTCGGTTAAGCACTTTTTACCATACGTTTTTGCCTTAAAAAATTCATAACTTTTTCTCCCATTTGCCCAATGATCGCAAGCTGACCGATTTCGTACTAGGAATCCAGCCCAGATATTTTATTATGCAATTTTTGTAAGTGATTAACAAGATTTTTGAAAACACTTTATACGCATTTATCTTTTTTTGATTCTTTGGCGATTTCGCCATTCACGTTCGAAAGCTTCCTTTGTCACTTGCGAGTTGCGATCGCGAACTTTAAAAAAAGAGGAGTGGGTTGTAGTTGTGGATATCTACCATATTATAAGCCACAAAAACTAGACAAACTAATAGTGTAAATTGTAAGAACTGAAATGAACATGTAAGAACGCAGTCCTTTAACAAAATGAGAACAGGAAAAAAATTTCAAAACATGAAAAAAAAATGTTCTAATGACAAAAACAAATAATTAGAAAGATGTTGTTCAAATCATTTATGTATAACACCTTGACCGTTGACATCATGTAGAACGTGTATATACATTGCTTCAAACATTTGAAAAATTCAAAAAAATATTAATATAAAAAATACTAAGATCTCATTTTTTTTTTACATCGGTATTTTAACATAATATTTTGTTCAATATACTATAAGTGTCATCGTTGTAGTCTATAAAATTATTGATCTACGTTTGTACAGATTATACATAAACAGTTAAGTACATGCAAAACGCTGGTATTCCGTATTGTCAATGTCAATGCCGGTTTTCTAGTTTTGAACTTGTGGTGTACATGTACGTGCCAATGTCACATGCCTATGGCCATCTTTAACGTTCTTTAAAGCTCCGGCAAACGAGCCGCTGCCGTCTCGGTGTATATTTGGGCAAAGCTATTAATCCCCAACACAGTGTTATTGCACTGCCGGTATTTATTATACTGCCGGTTGTTAAACTATCGCGGAGTTGCTATACACACGTGAATATTGCAAATAAATTTTAAAAAGCACTTACACACACAATAGATCAACCAACCGATTATTGCCACCGGTTTCGGTAATAATCATCGTTCGTATGTATATGATGGTGTTGAAAACACTTGTATAAATAATCGACGATGCTCGAAGAATTTGGTTTGTAGTTCGCGTCACACCTCGCTTGTGCGAAACGGACTGACTCGCGTGACTAGTCTACGGGGACGCACACTCAGCATACCTCTGTACGCTAGTTTGGGCTGCTATTTTGAAAATATTTCCAAGCCAAAAAAAACATGTATCCCTTTACCACTGGCGTAAGCGCTGTCGTTTTGTTGTTCCAAGTGATACAGTTAACGCGATCGCAGCAGTTGTACGAGAGACCGAGGCCTTTGCAAGGTGCTTACAACGGACCCTACGAGGAGATTTGCTCAAGGTATACATTTCAAATTATTTTTAAGGGACCGCATAACAACATTTATGATATTTTATATTATGCTGTAACCAAAACACAACAGTCATATCGATTTTTACAAGTCTCGCAAGCGCTCAAAAAAAAAAAAAATAAACGAGAAAATATTTAAATAAAACATATTTTTGGACGTCCCCTTCTTATGTATTGCTAAAGAATAATATAATATTTTTTTTAAATTGTTATAGTTTAAATTAACTGTTTTTTCTGTTATTGGTGTAGCTGTTATTTTTTAGTCAAACTGTAGCGATAGTTAAATATAGACAGAAAAAATCAAATTTGAAACCCAGGGCCACATTTTTTTTGGGGGGCACTTCCATAAAATTGATAAAAACAAATGCACCAACTTTTTTGTAAAACCCTATTTAAATTATAAAATAGGTATCACTTTTTGGTAAATCACCGAAAAGAAATAAAATAATATGTCTTGTTAAAGACAATTCTATACGTAGATTATTTATATTATTATAGGAACTTTTTTATTCTTTATTTTTTCTTTATTACTTGCAAATGTTTGGGGTAAGTTTTTTTTATATGTGACCTAATTATAATCCGTATAAAGACACTTTATACGGAATTGCTGCTACGTGAAAGACTCAAATATGTATGCATAACTATAAGAAAGTATATGAAAATATTAACAAATTATTTTTCATTGAACCATTTCCAAAGATTAATTACACCAAAATCAAATTATAGACTACAGCGTTGCTTAAAATACAGTACTCATGAAATTGGCGCATTTCGTTGTTTAGTAAACAATCTAAACCTTTTTTATAGAAAGATTTTAAATATTTTCAGTTTCAGTATTATACTAAACAATATTTTAATGGATTAATAGAATTATACACTTTATTGTTTTTGTCTTTACTGTCTAAGTGTTTTGAGCATTTTCACGGTTGACCTACATATTGTAACGGTTGACGTTTTTGTTATCACCCGAAGTTTCTGAATCTTTTTAAACTGGACCAAATTTAGTATCAAAAGAACGCATTTTTAGTATTTAAGCAATTAGAGATCCACTAATAGTTCTACATTTTAAATTTAAACTTAAAACAAGAGCGGATCTTTGAGCCGAAAAGTTAACGATAAGAAAAGGCAGGTAAATGAATAAAAAAGGTTTTTTTTTAAATTCTGAAAGGTTTTTGTACAATCTATTCAAAATTAACATTCGGAAATTAGAAATATACTACTAGGCTAGGAATGAAATAAATATTTTATTAAAGCCCGTTCTAGACTGAGGGGTAAAGTATTTTTTATCTATAATTCAAACTTGGCTAGATTTATTTATACAATGGGATTATTTCAAGTCATATTAGCCGCACTGGGCTGATATTGTTTAGGCAACAACAATTCTACTTTATAATAGTTAGAAACTATTCGGAAAATATTTAGGAAATATTGACAGTTTACTTAATATTGCGCTCACAAATCATACGTCTGTTAAAAATGTGTTCGGTATAAGTGTGCCGACTACAGTGGATTGAACAAACATTCGATGTAGGATTCATATTATATAACAAAACAATATGAAGACTTCGACAACTCGATAATTATTATCGAAACAATGACCTAATGACTGAAGGAACGTATTATGTATTTAGCAAAACACAATTCAGTAACAGAAAAGAGTTGTCAATAAATGCTATTATCTTATTTTAAATTATACACTAGACAATTATAAAATCGGAGTACCTTTGCAGTTAGATAAAACTTGAGTGGACAATAATTAATTTTGACATGAATAAAAAAATAGAAAACTGAGTGATGTTTACGGCAATGTGATAAAAACAAGATTTTTATGTGACTTAAATGTCTATATATTTTACTTATTTTTATATATTAAAATACTATTAAAAAAACGCGTTTTCGACAATTATTACTAAGAATATCAATCATCAAAATTCATAAGTCATCAAATTGTAAATATAACTTAATCCTATTTTTACTATATTGTTAATACCTTAAATTGCTTTTGAACTTTAATCAGTCATCTCTAAGCCTGATCTAAGTGCTGTGTAATTGCCACACTAATAAGTAGTATAAAGTAATAACTAATTGACGTAGAAACTAGGATGAATTAAAAATTACATAGACAATATGTTTTTTAATTCTATAATACTTTTATGAATATTGTGATTAGGCGTGCAATAGATTATTACCTACTATAATTTATATTTTATTAAAATAGCTTTTATAGCGTTAAAAACATATCACCTCATACCTATTCATTAAATTATTACAGCTATAAAATAGGTAAACAATGAACACTTTTATTGTGTAACCAAATAAATAAATACTATATTGTTCAATATTTGATCCAGACTTAGCTAATAATAGTTAATTCGGTAACACAATTAATGTTAACAGTTTTTAAACAAATATTACCAGAATTCTGCTAATTTCTAGTTTCTAATTAGATGAAGTTAACATATTTGTTTAAATGTTTAATTGTGATTAATACTATAATTTCAGATTGAATTCGTTTTAATACTAAACATTGCATATTTTTCAGTTTGATAGCTGCATAGTGTCTAACAACAACAAACACGGTATAAAAATTAAATTATATTTTTTAAATGCGGTAAAATATTTTAAACTGCTTATGACGAAAATAATCATTCTGAAACACGTTCACGATATTTGTCAAATGTTAATTTTATACTATTGGGTGTGATTCAATGTATATTATATGTATTATAAACAAGTTTGTTTACACAAATGACGTTAAGGTGTAATGAAGTAAGTTATAATCAGCACAAATTTACAACAACGAGTAATTCCTATTATTCTCTACAAATTTAAACACAGAAACGTTGAGAATACATTACTTGTTATGCCACCCAAGTTTGCGAGAATTAATATTTCTAAAAAAATGTACTTATAATGTTTATTTTTTTAATGTCTTCCTTTAAGACGGCCATTGATAAATAACATTACCTGCATTAATTGTATTATAAGTGGTACCTAACACGTCATATTGTGTTATCATAATAATATTTGCTTGTTATCGTTCAATTACTAACCAAATAAAGTGTGTCACGTTGTAAAATGTATCAAGTCATTAGCTGTATTGAAATGTGAATTGTAATAATAAAGATATTAATTGTTAAACCATTAACTGTAAAAAGAATACACTTTATGGCTTATGCGTATACAAATTTCGGCAACAATGTTGTCATCTTCAGCGCTAACGACAGACTGCCGATAGCGCTGAAGATGACATGATTATTGCCGAAAAATGTATACGCATAAAGTGTATTATTTTTATGGTTAACGGTTTAAATATTCATTTCTTTGTTATATATATAAAGTTTTTATTTCTAGATGTACTATAATGTGTAATAAAACAAATATTTTAAAAGTATTACGTTAGGTATAATAAAAGCGTGTGAAGTTTATTTCAAATATATGAATCAATAATGATATAATCATGTAAAAGTTAAATTGAATGTCCGCTTTAAAATAACGTCTAAGTACATTGTGTATTAGGAATCAGAGGCACTCCAGGTCAAATAAATAGACAAACAAATGTAATTTGTTGAATAATACAAACTACTGGCGGTATTCAACTTTTGATAGCTTTCAACTATCATTGGATGTTTCTTGTTAATGTATTTCTTAAGTTAATAAAACACAATTACATCTGACCCTATGCGAATTCATGTTAATTACAAACTGAAATTAATCATTTTGTTTAGCCAAATTTATTGTCATGGTGAGCTTTTGGACGACGTGCAATCAACGAGATTGTATCCAGATTCTAAGACGTTTGTAGACATGACAATGTTACGGGATGAGGAGGACATCGTAAACGATTACAAAGAATTAAAAAAATCGTACGGTGGAGTGCCCGACAACCAAACTCTACTGGCGTTTGTAAATAAAAATTTTAAAACAGAAGAACTTCAAAAGTGGCTTCCCCCAGATTTAGTTGATTATCCTGCTATCGTGGAGTACATACGGGATCCCGCTTACAGGTAACCAACAAGTTATTAATGTTGAGTCACCACACTTTCCTATAAAAGCCCATTCTCTTTTGCTAATTCACTCGAGTGTAGTAATGCAAAATTAAAAACGCCGTTTGATTTACTAAAATACACGAGTTGTTATTTTTTGCAATAATAATTGTGTTATGCCCTAATAAAATTAATTATTCAAACAATTAATCAGACAACTGGCGGTGGATGTCAACCAAATATGGAAGCTTTTGGCAAGAAAGATACCCGATGACGTCAGAGAGTCTCCGAAACGTCATTCGCATATATACGTGCCAAACGGCTTCTTTGTGGCTGGCGGTAGATTCAGTGAGTTGTACTACTGGGACACTTACTGGATAATAAGAGGTGTGTTTTAGAATCTGCTATATTTGTTATTTTTTTCAAAAACAGAAACATTTACGATTACTTTATATGCGCGATTTTAACAGGAGCTCTACTATGCGGAATGAAAGATACTGTAAAGGGCATTCTCGAAAACATGTTACATTTGGTGAAAACCTATGGATATATGCTTAACGGTAATCGAGTTTATTACTTAAAAAGGTCACAACCGCCCTTACTCATAAAAATGGTATCTGTCTATTGGGTCTTTAGCAGAGACATCAAATTTGTCTACGATCACATTAAGGTACGTTTTACGTCATATGAAATTATATCAATATTTGTTTATAAATACCTACTAGAGCTTAATAGTGTCAAGTGAATTGTAATCGCGAAATGTGCAGGCACTTATTAACTATTCAAAACAAACATCTTTAGATTAGAAAATATATTTTCACTTGTTATCTTAATAATAAAATGTTTAAGAAGACTGCAAATTTTTATATTAAAGAATTTTACGAAACATTATATTGTTTGACTACATTATGTCGAATACTGAATATTTTTCAATACAATTCAAATACTTATTATAAAATTTTTTTTTTAGACTCTAGAAACCGAATTTAATTTTTGGATGAGCAA